ATAGGCCTTTGTGATACGACTCCACTTTATAAACCTGCCTCTAAAATTTACCACTAGTTTATATAGCAAATATACAGGTCCTTAGAATCTGCACCTTTTGTTTCATCTTGATTTTCTTCTAAGTTTTTTAACTTTTATTCCTATTATTATGTCCTCGTTCTACACTGCTTCAAAGACTTCATGAAATTAATATAAATAAATGAAAGTAAGTAAGTAAATAATGTTAATGTTCTCCTAAACTCAGAATAGGTGATTAAAACCATCACTGGTTCACTACATTAGAGAACTGTAAACTTTTTAAGGAATAAAGATCTCATTTTTGGTGAACCCTATGTTTAAAAGTCATCAAAAGGTAATAGTTTTATTTTTCATTGAGGTAAACTTTATTGTGAAATAGTTTACATGAAAAATAAACTTTGAATCAGGACAGGAACATTCATTTTTAACATTCTGCCTCATCAGTTCTCAGTATCACAGTGTATTTTTCCTAATGTCAGTTTATCTTGGAAAATTTCGTTTGCTTTCTGGATATAATAAAACTCTTCTTGAAAATTATTTGTGATACACTGATTCCTTCTTTTCCACAGAACCCAGGGAGAATTCTTTTAAAGACTACAGTGGATGATTATGCTGTCTAGTGAATAAACAGGTTTTTTCTGCCTTCACACTATTCATAATTTCTCATTATGTATAGAATCCTCAAATTTGGAAGCAGGAGAGCACACCCAGTAGGATCCTATACGATCATTTAGCAACTACTGGAGGGAGGGAGAGTAGCCTAGATTTTGGAAAGCTCTTACAGCCATACTTACCCCCAAAGAGTCATAAAATGATAAACATCTGTTCAATGATCAAAATGGGAAATAATTGGTTTTGATTCTAAAGGAAAGAATAAAATAGCACTTCTCAGGATATGTTTCACTTTATAAGTACTTCTCTTATTTAGTGAATGGTTGAAAAATACAATCAAATGAAAAATATATATATAGGTATATACCTTATCATATTTATGTGATTGATATATTTACCTGGCTGAGGGAATAGTGTAATTGCCATAAAATAATCACAAACTTAATATTTTTGTAGATTTTTTAAAATTTACTTATGTATTGAAGTATAGTTGATTTACAATGTTTCAGGTATAGAGAACAGTGATTCAGTTTTATATATATATATATATATATATATACACGTATCTGTATATATTCTTTTTCAGATTCTTTTCCATTATAGGGTATTACAAGATACTTAATATATTTCCCTGTGTTATACAGAAGGTCCTTGTCATTTATCTATTTTATATATAGTAGTGTGTATCTGTTAATCCCAAACTGCTAATTTATCCCTCCCCCCTCCCACTTTATTTTTTAGAACATCTCTAGATTTACATAAAAATTAAGCAGACAGGACAGAGTTCCCATATACCCTGTCTCTCCTCTTTCACAGTTCCCCTGTTAATAATATCTTGCATTAGTGTGGTACCTTTGATACAATGGATAAGCCAATACTGAAACATTTTTACGAGCTAAAGTCTGTGGTTTAGAGTTCACTCTTGAGGTTAGTTCTACGGGTTCTGACAAATGTATAATGTCAAGTACCCACCATTACATTATCACACAGATCGTTTCACTGCCCTTAATCCCCTGTGCTTCACACCTTCATTCCTCCCCTGCCCCACTTGAACTTCTCACAACTACCGATCTTTTTACTGTCTTCATAGTTTTGTTTCGTCCAGAATGTCATGTAGTTGTAATCATACAGTATGGAGCCTTTTCATATTGGCTTCTTTGACTTAGAAAGATGCATTTAAAGTTCCTTCATGTCTTTTTGTGGTTTGATTCTTTCTTTTATTGGTAAATAATATTCCACTGTATGGATGTATTACAGTTTGTTTATCCACTCACCTATTGAGGGACATCTTGGTTGCTTACAGATTTTAGCAATTATGAATAAATCTGCTAGAAACTTTTGTGTAGACATAAGTTTCCCTTCATTTTTTGTAAATACCTGGAAGGATGATTGCTGGATTATATGGTAAGACTATGTTTATCTTTGTAAGAAACCACCTAACTGTCTTCCAAAGTAACCACAAAATTTTGCAATCCCACCTGCAAGGAAAGAGAGTTCCTATTGTTCCAAGGTGTTTCCATAATTTGGAATTGTCAGATTTTTGAACTGGAGCCATTCTAGTAGATTTTGAAGTGTGATTTAATTTGCAAATGTTTTAACTTGTAATTGCCTAGTGACGTGATGTTGAGACTCGTTTCATATGATTATTGGCCATCTTTAAAACTATTATGAGCTACCTGTTCAGATCTTGAGTCCACTTTTTAAGCTGTGTAGTTGGTTTTCTTACTGTTGAATTTTAAGAGTCCTTTGTATGTTTTTGGATGTGAGTCCTTTATCTGATATGTATTTTACAAATGTTTTCTCCTGTATCAGGGTTGTCTTTTCATTCTTTTAATGTCTTTCTCAGAGAAGTTTTTAATTTTAGTAAGTTCAATTAATCAATTGTTTCTTTCATTCATTGTGCTCTTAGTGTTGTATATTAAAGCTCATCACCAGATCCAAAGTCGTTTAGATTTTCTCCTGTCCTATCTTTTACAAGTTTTAAAGTTTCGTATTTTACATTTAAGTGTATGATATGTGTTAAAATTTTGTGAAAAGTGTAAGGTCTGCATCTAGCTTAGTTTGTTTTGCACATGGATGTCTAGTTATTCCAGCACTATTTGTTAAAATACTGTCCTTTCTCCATTAAATTGCCTTCGTTTCTTTATCTAAAAGCAGTTGACTATATACATGTGGGTCTATTTGGGGCTCTCCATTCTGTTCCGTGGATCTATGTGTGTATTCTTTCACCAATACCACATTGTCTTGATTATTGTACTTTCCAGTAAGCCTTCAAGTTGGGTAGTGCTTCTCTTTATTGTTCTTCAGTACTGTGTTGGTAATTCTGGGTCTTTTGCCTTTTTGTATAAACTTTAGAATCAGTTCATCAATATTCACAAAGTAAGTTTCTAGGATTTTGATTGGGATTGCATTCAATCTACAGATCACGTTGAGGAGAAGTGACATCTTAACCATACTTTCTTCTATCCATGAACTTGGAATGTTTCTCCATTTATTTAGTTCTTTGATTTTGCTCAAAATAATTTTGTAGTTTTCCTCACATGGATATTGTACAAATTTCGTTAGATTTATACTAAATGTTTTACTTTTTTAGTGCTAATGTAAACAGTAATTTGCTTTTAACTTCAAGTTTTACTGTCCTTTGCTGGTATATAGAAAACAATTGACTTATATCTATTAACCTTGTACCTTGCAACCTTGCTATAATTGCTTACTAGTTCCAGGAGTTCTTTCTGGCAATCCTTTGGGATTTTCTATATATACAGTCAAATCATTTGTGAACAAAAACAGTTTTATTATTTCCTTCCCAATCTCTGTAACTTTTACTTCTTTTCCTTGTCTAATTGTTTTAGCTAGGAGTTCTAGTAGAGTATTGAAAAGCAGCTGTGAGAGGGGCTATCTTTATCTTATTCCTGATCTCAGTGGGAAAGCTTTTAGTCTCTCACCATTAAGTACGATGTTAACTGTGGGTTTTTAATAGATGTTCTTTATCAAACTGAGGAAGTTCCCCTTCCTCAATTTCTAGTTTACTGAGCATTTTTTTCTAAGTGGGTATTGGGTTTTGTCAAATGTGTTTTCTATATCTATTGATATGATCATGTGATTTTTCTTTTTTATCTTGTTGATATGGTGGATTATATTAATCGACTTTTGAATGTTGAACGAGGCTTGCATACCTGGGATAAATCTCAGTTGGTCATTAGGTATAATTCTTTTTATATGTTGTTGGCCTTTATTTGCTAATATTTTGTTGTGGATTTTTGCATGTATATTTGTGAGAGGTATTGGTCTGCACTTTTCTTGTAATGTCTTTATCTGGTTTTATTATTAGGATAGTGCTGGCCTCATAGAATGAGTTAAGAAGTGGTTTTTTTGTTTGTTTCTTTTTTCTGCAAGAGTGTAGATCATTGGTATACATTTCTTTCCTAAATGTCGGTAGAATTCACCTGTGAACTTATTCTGGGCCTGGTGCTTTCTGTTTTGAAAGCTTATTGATTATTGATTCAGTTTATTTAATATAAGCCTATGCAGACCGTGTGCTCCTCTCTAGATGAGTTTTGTCACATTGTGTCCTTTTAGGTATTGGTCCAGTTCATCTAGTTTATCAAGTGTGTGAGCATACCGCTGTTCACAATATTCCTTTATTACCCTTTCAACATCCGTGGGATAAGTAGTGATGGCCTCCCTTTCATGTCTAATAATAGTAATTTGTATCTTTTTTTCTTCAGTTAGCCTAGCTAGAGATTTAGACATTTTATTGCTCTTTTCAAATAAACAGATGTTTCCTTTATTTTCTCTATTGTTCTGCTGTTTTGAATTTCATCGATTTCTGCTCTTTTTCTTTCTTCTGCTTACTTTGCGTCTAATTTGCTCTTCTGTTTCTAGTCTCCTATTATGGGAAAAGAGATTACTGGTTTTAGATCTTTCTTTTCTAGTATATGTATTAAATACTATAAATTTCCTTCTGCGCACTGCTTTCACTGCATCCCATAAGCTTGATAAGCAGTATTTTCATTTTAGCTCAATATAAATTTTATTTCGAAAACTCTTCTTTGATGCCTTAGTTATTTAGAGGTGTGTTGTGTAATTTCCAATATTTGGGGATTTTCCAGCTATCTTTCTGTTATTTATTTCTGGTTTAATTTCATTGTGGTCTGAGAGCATACTTTGTGTGACACATATTCTTTTAAATGTGTTAAGATGTGTTGTACAGCCTAGAATGTAGCCTATTCTGGTTAACATTTTGTTTGAGCTTCCTGAGCTTCTATGTGAGGTTAGTGTTTTATGTGTTGTCTCTTGTGATTGGATGAAATACAAAACTGTCTTTCAGATCCAGATGATAATGGCGCTATTCAATTCAACTATATTCTCACTGATTTCATGCCTGCTGGATCTGTCCATTACCAATAGAGGGGTGCTGACACTGCAAGTGTAATAGTGCATTTATGTCTCTTTCTCCCTGCAGTTTTACCTGGTTTTGCCTCATGTACTTTGATGCTCGTTTGTGAGGTTCAGACACGGGATTGTCGTGCCTTCTTGGTGAGTTGACCCTTTATCATTATGTATCCCTGAAAATTTCCTTGTTCTGAAGTCTGCTTTGTCTGAAATTAAAATGGCCATTCCAGCTTTCTTCTAATTAGTGTTAGCACTGTGTATCTTTCTCCATTTTTAATCTGTGTCTTTATAATTAAAGTGGGTTTCTTGTAAACAACATGTAATTGGGTCCTATATTTTACTCACTCTGTCAGTCTTTATCTTTTAATGGTGTATTTAGACAATTCACATTTAAAGTGATTATTGATAGAGGTGGATTAATATGTACCATATACTTTTTTCTATTTGTTGCCCTTCTGCTTTGTTTTCTTTTTTTGTCTTCCCTCCTTTTTTCTGGTTTTAATCAGGGATTTATATGATTCTATTTTCTCTCCTCTCTTAGCATATTAATTATACTTTTTAAAAGATTTTAAGGGTTGCCCTAGAATATGCAGTAAACATTTATAACTATTCTAAATCCGCTTTCATATAACACTATACCTCTTCACAGGTAGTGCAGGTTCTTTATAATAAACTATTCCCAGTTCCTCCCTCCTGTCCCTTATAACATTGCTGTCATTCATTTCACTTACCCATAAGCTATAATCACCCAGCTTATTGTTGCTATTATTATTTTGAAGTGATCTATTAGATGAATTAAGAATAAAAAATAAGGTCTTATTTTTACTTTCATTTATTCCTTTTCTCACGTTCTTCCTTTCTTCATGTAGATCCAAGTTTCTAACTATATCATTTTTCTTCTCTATGAAGAACTTCTTTTAACATTTCTTCCAAGGCAGGTCTACTCATGAAAAATTTCCTGTTTTTGTTGTCTGAGAAAGTCTATTTCCTCTCCACTTTCAAAGGATAATTACACTGGATACAGAATTCTACATTGGTGGATTTTTCTTTCAGCACTATAAATACTTCATTCCACTCTTCTTGTTTGCATGGTTTCTGAAGAGAGAAGTCTGATGTAATTCTATTCTTGTCTTGCCATAGGTAAGGTATATTTTTTCTTCCAGCTTCTTTCAATATTTTTTTTTGTCTGATATTCTACAACTTGAATATGATACACCTACATGTAGATATTTTTGTATTTATCCTGTTTGGTGTTTTCTGAGCTTCTTGAGTCTCTGGTTTGGTATCTGCCATCTATTCTGGAAAATTCTCAGCCACTATTACTTCAAATAAATCTTCTCCTTCCTCTCTTTACTGTCTGGTATTCCCATTACTTATATTTTACACTTTTTTGTAATTTTTTCGTAGTTCTCAAATATTGTTCCTTTTTCAAAAAAAAATCTTTTTTCTCTTTACACTTAAATTTGAGATGTTTCTATTGACATATCTTCAAGCTCATAGGTTATTTCTCAGCTGTGAAAAGCATTCTTCATTTTGTATTGTTTTTGTTTTCCAGCAGCTTCTTCTGATTCTTAGAGTTTTCATCTCTCTGCTTATATTACACATCTGTTCTTGCAAGTTGTAAACTTTCTCGAGTAGAGATCTTATCATGTTAATTATTTTAAGTACTTTAAATTCCCAGTCTGATCATTCCAAAACCTCTACCATATCAGAGTCTGGTTCTGGTGCTTGTTTTATCTCTTCAGACTGTGTTTTTTTCTTGCCTTTTAGCAAGCATTCTAATTATTTACAAACCACACATGATGTATCAGATAATAGGAACTGAGGTAAGCAGGTCTTTAGTGTGAGGTTTTATGTAAACATGGCCACGAGTAGGGCTGTGTTTACTGTTTGCTGCCTCAGAGGTTCCACTTTCCTTTAACATCCTTTGTTCTGTCTGCTGTCTGTCCTTGTGTTTACTTAGAAACTCCTTTCTGAATGGTGTCTGTGTCCTGAAGCTCTCTCAGTTGTAATCCACTGTTATTGTACTGGCACTGTTATTGTGCTGGAGAACTTTTAATAGATCGTAAGGTATTGGGAAGGAGAGGCATTCTATAATCTTATGATTGAATCTCCCTTTTTATCCGGCAGGAATCCCCAGGCTATGACCTTCAGAATAGTTGTTCAGCTTTTTTCTTGTGATGACAGGCATGACAAACTTCCAGCACCTTCAAATGTCCAAGTGGGAAGGCGCAGTTCTTTTTTTCCCTCATGTGAGACAGGGTAGAAGAGGCACAGGTTATCTAATTGTTCTCCCTGGAGGTCAGATGGAGCTCTGATATTGAAGTTTCCCTTGAGGGCTAGCCTTTGTTTCAGGAAAAGGAAGCTTTGGGTATACTTCAAAATGATTGCTTTCTCCCTCCCCTTGCCAGAGGCAAGAGAGAATTTTTCTCTGATCTTCACAGGACAGCCTTGTGGGGCTACTGAAAGTAAAACTCTGGAAAGTGTGGGTGCTCCCCTAAGGCCGAGTCCTTGCTCCCCCAGAGTTTTCCATTCTCAATTAAGTCCACACTCAGTCTCCAGCTATTCCCAGATCACAGATTAAGTGTCTCCACCCATTACTGGCTCTTGTTCCTAGTCAGCTGGGATTGTCTTCATTCACCTATTTCTTCAGTTTTCAGGGAGGTGATTTGTCCTGAATTCTCTGGTAGATGTAAGAAGAATTGTTGATTTTCAGTTGGTTCAGCTTTTTTCTTGTTGTGATGGCAGCAGTGACAGTTTCCAAGATCTTCATGCATCAGAGTGGAAACCTGAAGTCCTAATAATAATATTTTATATCCATTATATCTTTTGATGACATGAAAGGGTGCCAATGAAAAATTAGTCGATCTAAGAAAGAAATGGAAAATTTTATTCAAGCCAGTCTTGAGGATTATAACTCAGGAAGAGCATCTCAGAAAGCTCTAAGAACTATTGTGCCCATTAGAAGTCAAGGCACAGTTCTATAAGTGTTTTCAGACAGAGGGCTGTACATCAAGTGACATATTACTGGCAGTTTAGATGATCCAGATCTAATCGGCATCGTGGTGGGACATGTGATCCCCTACAAGATCAGGAAGGAATGTTGTCTTTTAAGGAGCTGTCTTGTTAATGCTGGGAGAATGTTGCTCGTTGTGGTTGAGCAGGTATTCCTACAAATGGGGGAGGTGTGGCCGGTGCATAATGCGGATACACAATGCATAGTGCCGGGAGAGAGGGGGCCAAAGGTCAGAGAAGGCTTTTTTATGTTTAAATTTTTCTTGTCTTGCCATTAAATACAAATTTTTATTTCACAAGGTTGCGGAGCACAGGCTCCGGACGCGCAGGCTCAGCGGCCATGGCTCACGGGCCCAGCCGCTCCACGGCATGTGGGATCTTCCCGGACCGGGGCACGAACCTGCGTCCCCTGCATCGGCAAGTGGACTCTCAACCACTGCGCCACCAGGGAAGCCCCACAGATCTTATTACTGGCATTTAACCTACAAGAAAACTGAGGCTGAAAGAGATTAAATAACTTTCCCAAAGACAAAGGGCCAGTAGATGAAGCTAACCCACATCTTCTAGACCCTGCCAAGACTCCTCCAACACAGACATGTATGTTCAATCATTAATGCACCTGAAACAGTGTGAAAGGAAAACTTCCATGTGAGAGAGGATCGTCCACATTTCAGTTGGCTCTGTGGCCTGATATAAAAAGCCCTGCCCTGGGATATTCCATAATAAATGTCCTCAAGCCTGACTCAGACCCCAGCTCCCATTTAGATTTTAGGGAATTCACAACAGTGGGAGTCTCAGTTTCTCGGTATGAATCTGGAGCAAGAACTAGAACCACATGACCATTCACCGAGGTCTCTTGCAATCAGAAAATGAAGCAGTGCTAGGCTGTATTTAGGCTCCACATTTTGGGAAGAGAGAGTCTGTGTATGTGTGTATCTGTGGGTCTGTGGGCATGGATATGTGAAAGAGGAAGTTATGTCTTTACAATTTTCCTTAACGGCTAAATTAAGCCTCTCCCTTAAGTGAAAAGCCTTAGCTTCTTTAATTCTTTAAATGACATGACACTTTACCTTCCCACCTGCTTAAATACACTATAGCTTATGAATGTGAATAATATTTAAAGCAGGACTTCCTTCCAAGATTTCCTCTGCCTTCGGATTTTCCTTATGTTTTCTCATGGTAACTCCACAACCATTACCAACCACTGAAATGACTCCGTGTGCAATGTCACTTCCTCAGAGAGGCCTTCCTTGACCTCTTAGGACAGAACCCAGCACTTCCTCTTTCTGAACCTATGTGTTCATGTCTGTGTCCCTCGCTATTCTGGAATCTTCATGAGGGTGGACTCTGCATAAGTCACAGCTGCACCCCCAGGGCTGACAGTCTAGGATGGACCTTTCTGCAGGATAGAGATGTTCTATCATCTGTAAGTGATTGCTGAGCTCTTGAAAAGTGCAAGTGAACTACTGAATTTTTAATCCCAAAATTTAAATAGCTATAAGCTGCTAGTGGCCACATATCGGACGGTGGAGGACTAGAGCAATGTTTCTCAAAATCTAAATCAAGATGTCAGGAATCTGCTTCTTGATCCATGCTCCAGGTAATTCTTACCAGCGGTAAAATATCACAACTGCTGGTCTAGAATGGGATTCTCAGTCCTGGCTTCACATTAGACTCACCTGGAGGAGGTTTTAAAAGAGAACAGTGTCCCAGCCACACCCCTAGAGATTCAATTTCAATTGGTCTGGTGTGGGGTTCAGGTATTAGTATTTAAAAAACGAAACAAGACAGAAACTCTCCCCTGGAGACTGTTACGGGCAGTCAGGCTTGGGCATCTAGAAGATCTGTTCTCACTCGACCCTCAGAATAGACCAAATAAATATACAGATAAACGGTCTGGGGGCATTTATAAAGGATTAGTGATTACAAGTGAAATCTTGTGATGTCCGAAGAGATAATTAGTGACATTAGTGGTTCAGATGAATTTCTTGACATTCCACGAAAAAAAAAGTCAGCTTTAGATAATCTCTAACGACTGTGTGAAATTCCTTGTCCTTTTATCCATAAGCGGTACAAATCATACCAAGCTCTGGGACATCTGGAGAGGGTGACACGCTCAGAGTTCCCTAATCAATCATCTCTTAAAATACACAAAAGCCTCTCTAGTTTGCTGGTTGATTGACAGAGGGCCTGGTGACTTCACATGGAGTCACATGATCGTGCCCTGCCCAGCAGCTGGAAGAAGGTGTTTTCCAACCTGCCGCTCTGGGCAGGTCCCGGGTCTCCTTTGCTAAGTCCTCCCCGTTCCTCCCCCCTCCAGGTGCGTCGGTCACCGTCTCGGCGGTAAGGAACGGCGCCCGGACTAGCGCGGGAACGTGGGTGCCGGAGTCCCGCCCTCCCCTCCTGCAGGTGCACAGGTAAGGGCCCCGCAGTAAGTCCAGACTGGCCGGGTGCCGGGCGCAGAGGGAATCAGGCGGGTGCAGGCTGGGCACCCGCGCGGGGGGCGGCCGCGCGGGTGCAGAGTCCAGGGAATTTCAGCCCCGGCCCTGGGCGCGGCGAGGACCGCAACTCAAGGAAACCCGAGCAGCTTTGCAGGGGGAGTGTCTGATGATTTTTCAAAACATGCTCCTGATTGAAAAAAAAAAAAAAAAATCAAGGCTCAGAATAAGTAGATTCAAGCACTGCTAATTTTAGCCAAGACACGGGAGGAGCTTGCCAGGCCTGGATTTGAGGAAATTAACATGAAACTAAAACCGAATCTTAGGTGAAGAGGAGCAAGCAATATTGATCAGCACGTACTAAACGCTAACAAAAAGGTCTCCGTAGAGAGAGGTTTACAGGAAAAAGTTTAAATTACTACGAGAGATTTAAGGGAGAAGTACTATTCAATGAAACAAAAGTACTAGAACAAAAATAAATGAATATAGTTTAACAATATATCAGCATATACTTACACATGTGAAAACTACTTTAGTCTAAAGTATATTAAGTTAATTTAAATATTATTCAAAAGTAATTTGAGCCTTGTTAACTCAACAGGTTTGCATTTTTAAAAACTGGGTCTAGTGTGTGCTAGAGTGATATTTTTTTCCTTTCCACAGAACTTCATTGATTTAGAATGAGGTAGATTCTTCCTTAAAGATAGTAAACATTGCCAACCCACAATGAAATTAGATCACATGCTTTCTGAAATGTACCAGAGGGGCATGCAATAAACTTCATTTATCTGCAGGTAATAACTAAGTAACACTGGTTGATGTTCACTCAGCAGTCAAAATGCAGTGTATGCACCGTGATTAGCACACCAGATTATTCTTTCAAGGAAATCTGAGAGGTTTAAGGTTGTCAGTATTCTTCAGTGGAGACATCGTTTTGCTCATGTTGCAATTTTTTTAAGGGTAGGCATTCTCTTCGCAATGTGCTTATAGAGGGTTTTTTTCGCTTAGCTGATTTTAGTTAAAATGGAAACAAAATAAGTTTCTTAGCTGGACTTAATCACGTGTCCTCAGTCCTGTGATACCCTTCCTGGATACCTCCTGCCCCTCTGACCTATTGCAGCTCTGGTATTTTAGCAACAATCCACCAGCTTGACCCTTGAGCAAAACCCACGTAAGCTATTGAGGGAAGCCACAGGGCTGAAACTTTTTTGTATCTAATAGTAAGCCTATTATTATTTTTATTGAAGTAGTGTTACTGTGTCAGTGTTTAAATGTCTTAGCATCTCTTCCTCAACTATGGTCCCGTGGAGGATATTGTCTTAAGAGCATTTTGTTTTATTTTAAGAAAACACACAAAATTTTAAATAGATATCTTTTTTGCTAAAATTTATTCATCAATTTGAAGTTATTCCTGTTTTGGGTTAAACTATGTTTAATAATACCAAAGAAGATATATTGTAGGTAGTTGTATATTTGACAATTCTCTGCAAAGAACCCATAAGGAACAATACGTGAAAAAAAAATGAAACACCTTAAATGTAAATATTTATCATTGTAAAATAAAATAATAAGGAAAGGTAATTTCAGATGTACTTTGTTCAATACACATCCACAAGAGGTTATCACTATAATATTAAATTTGGGGGAAAAAACCCACTAGATTATTTTAAATTCCATTCCAGAAGATTTATGTAGAGAAGTGAATAAATCAAAAGATCAATGTGCAAAATGATTTCAAAATGGTATTGTGGCATGACTCTGGTTACCTCCTGTGTTAAAAATGACTGTGTTATTTTTTTCTCATGTAGCTTGTACAACTAAAAAAGTGAATTATGTTCAATACCCTTTTCCAAATGTTATCTTATGAAAAATGTCTGGCTATTTGGGTTTTGGTCCTTTAGGAAACTAGAACTTTTTAATAAGCTTAGCAGTGTTGTCCAGTAGAATTTTCTGCAACGATAGGCGTGTTCTACATATAATCTGCTCTGTCCAGTATGGTAGCTGTTGATTATATGTAGCCATTGAGCACTTGAAATGGCGTTAACTTAGCTAAGGAGCTGAGTTTTCTTCTTTTACTAAATTTTAATGAAAATTTAGTTACCCGTATGTGACCAGTGGCTACCGGATTGCACAAGCATCTGACTAGCTGTTCCCCTTTGTTCTGCTGGCTGGTTGATAGTATTGCGCAAGACACAACTGCTGATCTCGTGCTGTCGGGGAGTCCTGAAGGTATTTTTCAAGAGCCTTAATCTGGAAGGGATTTAAGAGATATGTTTTTTTCATTTCATTTTTAATGACATTTGTTGCTTTGTTTTCATATTACGAGCAACACATGTTCACTGCAGACTACCAGAAACACATAAAAGCATAACGTAAAAATTTGCTATCTCCCATAATCCCCACCCTCCAGAGATAACTATTTTAGCATTTTGACACATTTCCTCCCAGTGTCTACCTATTTTTTTTTTCAATTGAGGTATACTTGACCTACATCACTCTGTTATTTCCAGGTGTACAATACAGTGACTCGATATTTCTACGCATTACAAAAGGATCCCTACAATAAGTCTAGTTACCATCTGTCACCATACAAAGTTATTACAATATAATTAACAATTTTCCCCATACTGCACATTTCATCTTGATCCCTTGGACTCATTTATTTTGCAGCTGGAAGTTTGTCCCTCTTAACTCACTCACCTATTTCACTCACCCCCCCCCGACCCTGTTCCCTGTATCTATGACTCTGTTCTTTGTTATGTTTGTTCCTTTGTTTTGTTTTTCAGAGTCCACATATTAGTGAAATCATATGGTATTTATTTTTCTCCATATGATTTATGTCACTTAGCATAATAGCTTCTAGGTCCATCCATGTTTTCACAAATGGCAAGATTTCCTTATTTTTATGGCTGAGTAATATTCCATGTTGTGTGTGTGTGCATGTGTGTGTGTGTGTGCGTGCGTGTGTGTGTGTGTGTATATATATATATATATATATATATCACATCTTCTTTATCCATTCATCTGTTGCTGGGCACTTAGGATGCTTCCATATCATGACTGTTGTAAATAATGCTGTAATGAATAGAGGTGTGCATATATCATTTTGAATCAGTGTTTTAGTTTTTCTTCAGAATGATACCAAGAAGTGGATTTTCTGGATGGCATGGCAGTTCTACTTTTAGTTTTTTTAAGGAACCTCCATACTGTTCTCCATAGTGGCTGCACCAATTTACATTCACACCAACTGTGTAGGAGGGTTCCCTTTCTCCATACTCTCTCCAGCATTTGTGGTTTGTAGACTTTTTGATGATGGCTGTTCTGACAGGTGTGAGGTGATACCTCATTGTGGTTTGATTTGCATTTCTCTAATAATTAGTGATGTTGAGAATCTTTTCATGTATCTGTTGGCCAAGGGTGTGTCTTCTTTGGAAAAATGTCTATTCATATCCTCTGCCCATTTTTTAATTAGGTTATTTGTTTTTTGATATTGAGTTTTATGAGTCCTTTGTATATTTTGGATACTAACCTATTATGAGGTATATCATTTGCAAATATCTTCTCTGATTTAGTAGGCAGCCTTTTCATTTGATTGGTAGTTCCCATGCTGTGCAAAAACTTTTTAGCTAGGGTAGTCCCATTTGTTTTTGTTTTTTAAAGATTTGTTTATTTATTTATTTTTGGCTGCATTGGGTCTTCGTTGCTGCGCGCGGGCTTTCTCGTTGCGGTGAACAGGGGCTACTCTTCGCTGTGGTGTGCAGGCTTCTAATTGCGGTGGTTTCTCTTGTTATGGAGCACGGGCTCTAGGTGTGCGGGCTTCAGCAGTTGTGGCACACAGGCTCATAGTTGTGGCTTGCAGACTCTAGAGCAGAGGCTCAGTAGTTGTGGTGCACAGGCTTAGTTGCTCCGCAGCATGTGGGATCTTCCCAGACCAGGGCTCAAACCCGTGTCCCCTGCATTAGCAGGCGGATTCTTAACCACTGCGCCACCAGGGAAGTCCCCCATTTGTTTTTTATTTTTGCTTTTGTTTCCCTTGTCTGGAGAGATAGATTCAAAAAAACAATTGCTAAGGCCAGTGTCAAACAGTGAACTGCCTATGTTTTCTTCTAGGAATTTTATGGTTTCAGGCCTCACATTTAAGTCCTTAATCCATTTTGAGTTTATTTTTGTACATGGTATGAGAAAGCAGTCCAGTTTGACTCTTTCATGTAGCTGTCCAGTTTACCCAACACCATTTATCAAAGAGGCTTTATTTTCCCCATTGTGTATTCTTGCTTCCTTTGTCATAGATTAATTGACCACATGTGTGTAGATTTATTTCCGGGCTCTCTATTCTTTTCCATTGATCTATGTTTCTGTTTTGGTGCCAGTACCATATTGTTTTGATTACTGTAGCTTAGAAGTATGAAATTGGGGAGCATGATAACTCAAGCTTTTTTCTTTTTTCTCAAGAAAGAAAAAAGCTTGTGTCATCTTTGATTTCTTTCATCAGTATCTTATAGTTTGCTGAATATGGGTATTTTTGCCTCCTTAGGTAGGTTTATTCCTAGGTATTTTATTCTTTTTACATGATAGTAAATGGGATTGTTTACTTAATTTTTCTTTGTGTTCTTTTGTTGTTAGTGTATAGCAATGCAAGAGATTTCTGTATATTAATTTTATATCCTGCAACTTTACCAAATTCATTGATTAACTCTAATAGTTTTCTGGTGGCATCTTTAGGATTCTCTATGTATAGTATCATGTCATCTGCAAACAGTGGCAGTTTTGCTTCTTCCTTTGCGATTTGGATTTCTTTTATTTCTTTATCTTCTCTGATTGCCATGGCTAGGACTTCCAAAACTATGTTGAATTATAGTGGTGAGAGTGGGCACCCTTGTCTTTTTCCTGATCTTAGAGGAAATGCTTTCAGTTTTTCACCATTGAGAATGATATTGGCTGTGGGTTTGTCATATATGGCCTTTAGTATGTTGAGGTAGGTTCCCTCTATGCCCACTTTCTGGAGAGTTTTTATCATAATTGGGTGTTGAATTTTGTCAAAAACTTTTTCTGCATCTTTTGAGATGATCATATGGTTTTTATTCTTCAGTTTGTTAGTATGGTGTATCAGCTATTATTTTTTTAAATATGTTTTTTGCCCCTTTTCTCTCCCTTCTCATTCCTACACCCCTTAATGTGAATGTTAGTATGTTTGATGTTGTCCCAGGGGTCTCTTAAGCTATCCTTCTTTGTTTTAATTCTTTTTTCTGTTTAGCTTGGGTGATTTCCACTGTTTTGTCTTCCAGTTCAATGATCCCTTCCTCTATATTATCTAATCTACTGTTATTTTTTTCTAGTGTATTTTTTATTTCAGTTATTGTGTTCTTCACCTCTCTTTGGTTCTTCTTTGTATTTTCTAACTCATTGTTGAAATTCTCACTGTTTCATCCATTCTTTCCTCAAGTTTGTTGAGCATCTCTCCGATCATTACCTAAACTCTTTATTGGGTAAATTGCTTACCTTCACTTCACTTAGCATTTCTTGTGGAGTTTTATCTTGTTTTTTCATTTTGAAAATATTCCTTTGTCACCTCATTTTTCTGGTTCTTTGTTTTTGTTCTTCTCTGTATTAGATAGGCTGGTTATATTTTCTGATCTTGGAGAAGTGGTCTTAAGTAGTAGACATCCTAATCACCCCAGCAGCACACCCCCTGCTGGTCACCAGAGATGTATTCTCTAGGGGTGCTTCTTATATGGGCTGCATGAGTCCTTTTGTTGTGTTAGGGCCAACTACTGTGGGTACACTGGTAGGTGTGGCTGGCCCTCAGCCCAGTTGGTTGCCAGGCCCTGCCTAGTGCAGAGGCTGCTGGCCACTGGTGGAAGGGGCCAAGTCTCAGGATGGCTGGCTATGGGGACCATGTTGTCCCAAGACTGGTGCCCACTCACTGGTTGGTGAGGCCAGCTCCTGATGCAGCTGCCTGAAGTGCACCAGGGGGTCATGTGTCTAGTGCCAGCCCAGTGTGGAAACAGAGACTCTGCTCTTGAAGAGAGAATGCAAAATCTCACATGCTGTACTAGTGGTCTAACACTAGCTCCATGACCCCCTAATGCAGAATCAAGTCCTGGGGTGGCTAGCTGCAAGCCAGGGGGTCCTGGAGCTAGTCTTGGCCTGCTGATAGGCAGGATCAGGTTCTGCGGATACTGGGGACTGGGGGTGGGGGCTACCTATGGCTTCTGCTGGCTTGCTAGTGGGTTGGGCTAGTCTCTGCGTTGCTGTCTGCTTAGCCTCAGGCATCACAGGACTGGTGACAACTGGCCTTTGGGTGAGGCCAGATTCCAGTGCTAATAGGCTAGTGGGAGGACATCAAAATGGTACTTGCTAGCACCAGTGCCCTAGTGACAGCATGAGCTCATGAAAATGGCTGTTGCCAACACCTGTGACCCCAGGGTGAGAGCTGCTTGCCTCCCGCCTCTCCAGGCAACTCTCCAAGATCAGCAAGAGGTCTGACCCAGGCTCCTTTCATATTACTGCCTCTGCCCTGGGTCTTGAAGTATGCGAGATTTTGTGTGCGCCCTCTAAGAGGCAGAGGCTCTGTTTCCTACAGACCTCTGGTTTTCCCAAATGCAAGTCTCACTGACCTTCAAAGCTAGAAGTTCTGGGGACTCATCTTCTCTGTGCAGGATCCCCGGTCTGGGGAGCCCAATGTGGGGCTTAGACCCCTCGCTCCTTGGGGAAATCTCTGCAATTGTGATTATCCTACTGTTTGTGGTCACCTACCCATGGGTGTCAGTCTCGACTCTACTGTGTCTTCACCCCTCCTCTCATCACCTTGTGGTTCCTTCTTTATATCTTTAGTTGCAGACGATCTTTTCTGCTAGCCTTCAGGTCATTTTCATTGATAGTTTCTTTGTGAATAGTTGTGATTTTGGAAGGAGGTAGGCTCAGGGTCTTCCTTCTCCACCATCTTGGTCACCTTCAAGAGATTGTTAAAGAGATCTTTAGGAGATTCTTCTATCTGTTCAGTTTTTTAAAAAGTCACAAATATAATTTCATGAACTATTTAAACTAATACACACCTAGGTGGTGCTACTGTTGAAGAAAAGTGCCTTTGCCTCTAGGGGATCCTGAGTATGTAGCAACAATACAACTTAAATGTGCCCTTAAGCTCGTGTTAAATAGTAGAACAGCTTGTGCTCAGAAGGCACTGATAGGTCTCAAAGTCTTCACCCGTGCTCTGTCATTGACTTGTCACAACAACCAATTGAACTGAACAGGATCCTGGTCCACAAATCTTCATGATACAATCTACCCACACAGAAGAATTTCTTTACGATATCATACAAATTGTATCCAGATCTTGGAAGAAGTTAGGTTTTCAAGCTCTGAAGACAAATTTTGCTTGTTTTATTGTTTGTTTTGTAGGTCAGTGATCAAAAAATATTTGTTGCCAACATAAATGAAAAAATGAATGAATGAACATGGGTTGTGAATGTAATACATAATTTCATAATGTCCTAACTTTTTATCTGGAAGGACTCTTACCATACTTTTGACAAACTCAATAAGTATCATGTATTGATCACAGTTTGCTCACAGATTCACAACTTTTTAATTGTTTCATTTTTACTCCTTTTATTTCAGAAGCTCTTGAAAAGTACATCAAGTTGAAAGTGAACCAGCTTGCTCTCGGGCAGGACCAGAGCCATGAGCAATAATGGAACAGACCTCACCACTGGTTTCATCTCCTCTATTGTAGCCATCCTTTTGTTTGGCTCAAACTTTGTACCACTTAAAAAATATGAGACTGGCGATGGTAGTTATGTTTCCTTCATTGTTAGTCTTAAATTAATTTTAAATGTGAAGTTCACTTTTTCGGTCTTTTTAAAATGATGGCTATAAAAATGAATTTTGCTGTACCTGAAGCCAAATGAATAGAGCTTAAAAAAAATCATTTGACAATGCCCATGCCATGTTATCTGACTGCTAGTCAGTGTAGGATAACCTTAATATTGTGTTTCATCATAAAGCTAGGATGGGGAAAGTCTTTTAGCCATATCTGTTATGTTTAGAAAAGAAGGAAGTTAGCTCTACTGCTAACACTTGTTTTGCAAACACAAATTGCCAACACAATTGATACAATAGAAAACAATTCGCACATAACACGAAATCTGTGTTTGCCTATGAGCAATTTTGACTCTGACAAGCATTAGGTGAACACAGAAAACTGCACCCAGATGAACAAAGAGGCATAGTAATGCACAAAATATGCTCACACACACCCCTTCACACAACCACCAGGTCTGTCACACCACGCCCATACACATCTGGTGTTCAAGCCCTCATTCACCACCTCCCCAATAATCCACAAGCTACAACACTCCTGACATCCATTTGCATAAGCCAACTTCAGATCGTTTTTAAGGTAAAGTTCCATATTTATTGCAGCATTTGTGAACGTCTTAACCACTTAACCAGTGTAAAACTGCACTACCATCTTTTTAGGCTCCTATCTTTCCTTAATAAGTTGTTGATGGAAGTTTCTGAGTGTTGTGTCCTTAGCCCCATTTTCCCCCTAAGCTCTGCAGGCTTTATCACATGATTTTACACAGTACGGTGATGTTTAGGAACACACATGTCACATTATGGTAGAACTGACTGTAATGTGAATTATAGGGAAGGAGAAGCAGTAGTTGTTTTTATCTACCTGCCTTTCCTGTTAAAGCCAGGAGAAATTGGGGATGTTATGGTGAAACCCTGGTGGGAGGCATTGTGCTTTCACTCCAATTTATGTCTTTTTTTTTTCAACTTTATCTCAGCCTTTTTTCTTATGTCTTTATACCACTAAGACAATAGAGTTACAAATCCTTTCCCTCCAGAGCCTCTCTTCTTCTCCCCTTTGGAGTTAGAACAGGAGTGAAAAGTGCTGAAAAAATAACAAAAAACATACTAAGGGTTAGAGGACCTGACTTTTGGGTGTTCTACAAGAACGGAGTGATCCCAGACAAACCTTATCCACTCTTTTGTTCTCAGTTTCTCATTTGTAAAATGAAGTTCCCTTTCATCTCTGTGTGCTTACTTTTTTTGTCTTAGAGGTTAACAGCCTTTTTTTCTCTCCTCCACCGTGAGATTGACTAGAAATAGGGAAAATTTTCCAATAGAGTCAAAAGTGCTACACTGAGTTATAACTACCTTAGTATTTTTTCCAATGTCGATATTTTCTGTATCCTTTTAATCCCTAAAGCTTCCTTCTAAGCCTCAGAAAAGTACAGATACACCTCATATCACCATGTGACCTTCAAGTAACTTGCAGAGCATAGGAAGGGGAGTAGCCCTGACCTAGAAGGCTAATTCTCAGGTCTGGAATGTCTGACTCATTGCAGACACTCAACTCCAAGTGCGTGAGACCTACATATGGCCATAAAGGACTTTATGTTTATCCCAAAATGGTGCATATGGTCCCCAAAGGTTTAAATTACTATCATGCTGTTGTGACGTTCTTAATGCCTTGTCTTCGGTGAGGAATGGCACTAAGTATAGCATCTGAATAAAAGTATGTAGTCTTGGTCTTGCCAACATTCTTTGGTAGAAAATTTTTGATCCCTGTTAAGCCGGGATGCACGGTGTAGAGCAAGCTTTGGAGTCCAGTTGAGTTTAAATTCCAGTTTTACAGACTGTTAGCTATTTGGACAAGTTGCTTCATCTCTGATTCATTTTCTGTCTTTGAATTAGGGTTAATTATGTTGCATAGTAGTTACAAGAAATATAATAAACATGTAAAGTGCCTGGCATAGAGGCATGCAATAAATTGTGACCATTACTATAATAATTCATTGATATTCCCAAACGCACTAATTTCCTTAGATCAGTTTGAACCAATGACACCAGTTTTTTTTATTTCCAGGAATGTTTCTCCAGTGGGTTCTTTGTGCTGCCATATGGTTGGTTGCCTTGGTGGTCAATCTGATATTACATTGCCCTAAGTTTTGGCCTTTTGCAATGGTTGGGGGCTGCATTTGGGCAACAGGTAATATTTGATATAATTTATTCTTTAATCATTTTATGCTATGATCCAAATAAATCTGGTTCATAGTAGAAGGAAACTAAATGAACAATTTAGTTTCTCTCATTTATATGCTCCATAAATATTTTTGGTACATTTCCTGACTCTTTCCTTTTAATGATTTCTTTCTTAGTTCCTGGTAGATCATTGTGATAGTAAAATTATTACTATATATTATATGTATAATTATATAAAATTATTATAGGAAAAATGTTTCACTCGCTATCTGTTCAAGCATAACTCATATATTAGTTTAAGTGCTCTGGTCTTTCTTTCTTTCTCTCCCATTATGTTTGTCAGAAAATATTTATTAAATAGTCGTTTCTACTACTATCATCTTTAGGACTTGTCCTTAAAAGTAGACAAACACAGACACATTATCATTTCAAAAGCACTGGCAGAGAAACAGAAGCAAACAAAAATCTTCCCTCTGTTGCCTTCTCACTGTTGCCTGAAGTTATATAACTAGAATTTACACCTTTGCTTGGCCAATCAGGGATGCTTTTCTTCTCTTACTATAAATGCACCCCAGGAGAGTTTTCTTCTCTTTAGCAAAGAGAATCCCAAGTATCAAGGCTCTCTAGAGGCAGTTTGATTAAAAGCAAATGAATTTTTAAACGTTAAAAATGTACTGGGTAACTACTTAATTTGAATCTCTACAGAATTAAGTGATTTAGTGAAGATGATGGGTTGGAGGACAAAAGAGTTAACTTTTAAATTTCCACTAGAGTTGTAATTATTGTAGCTCACTTATACCTTAGTATGCTTATGATTGTCATGTCTAACGGGAGAGGGGAACAGAGAAAGCAACCATTCATCCTGCGGATCTTGACAACCACCATAGTATCTATATTCACCCAGCAGGTCCCACTGGGAGTCGGTGGGTTAGAGCCTAGTTTGAGAACTGCTGCAGACGGGGATGCTGTAGGTTACAGTAGCTGATTGGATGTGGGGAGCAGAGGAAAGGGAGGACCCAATGGTAATGTAGGGATTTTCTCGTGAGTGATTGGAAGAGTGATGGTGTCATTGACTTGGATGAGGAAAACAGGGACGAGAACGTGTCCGAAAGGGAAAATAATGAGTTCAGCTGGGACCTTTTGAGCTGAAAGTTCCTGGTGTTGGAAATTTCTTTTTTTTTTTTCTTTTTATAAATTTATTTATTTTTGGCTGTGTTGGGTCTTCGTTGGTGCATGCAGGCTTTCTCTAGTTGCAGCGAGCGGGGGCTACTCTTCGTTGCGGTGCCCAGGCTTCTCATTGCAGTGGCTTCTCTTGTTGCGGAGCACGGGCTCTAGGCGTGTGGGCTTCAGTGGCTGTGGCTCACGGGCTCCAGAGCACAGGCTCAGTAGTTGTGGCGCATGGGCTTAGCTGCTCCGCGGCACGTGGGATCTTCCCAGACCAGGGCTCGAACCCATGTCCCCTGCATTGGCAGGTGGATTCTTAACCACTGAGCCACCAGGGAAGCCCAGGAAATTTCTTATCGGCACTAAAACTCTGGAGAAGGTCCAGGCTAGCACTGGGAGCATGTGACTCTAGCTGATAGCTGAAACCATGAAACTGGTCAAGTACCCAAAGAAGAATATAGCAAGAGGAGGGGTGTGTTCTAGGGAAAATATTCAGAGGGCATCTAAATCCGGAAGGTGTGATGCGAAAGAGCAGCCAGAGAAAGAGAGAAACAGGAGGGAACTGGGAGATGAAGAGATCTTGGAAACCAAGAGAGGGAACCTTTCCAGAGGAGATTGACTGAGACCAGACAGCCAATCAAGAACTGGAAAGACCAACCATGAATTTAGTCCTGCGCACGAAGCACTGGGTGCAGGACTCCAGAAGACAAGTGGGTGAGCATGGGAGAGCAAAGTCTGGGGCCGTACTGGGACAGGGACATCTGCCAGTGGTTGGCCCTGGTTCGAGTCGTAGGGGATGGTCACTACTGATTTTATCATTGACCGGCTTCTGCAAAAAGACATAAAACAGAGACCTATGCTAAGGATGAAGAGCATTGGTGCAGTTAGGCAAGGAGCTAATTCAACATTTTCTCTGTAGGATTTTGCCCTAAGCCTGGCTCTTTTAGCAGTCACAATCATGAGTTTAAATGCCAAAACATGTGGCTGTTTTATTTTTAAAATGACGAATTGCGCTTTACTAAGTTTGTCCAAATCCCATAAGCTTTTTTTTCCATTTTTATTAAACCTTTATTTTGTTTTATTTTTAAAATTTTTTATTGGGTTGTAGTTGATTTACAATGTTGTGTTAGTTTCTGCTGTACAGCAAAGTGAGTCAGTTATACATATACGTATAACCACTCTTTTTTAAGATTCTGTTCCCATATAGATCATTACAGAGAGTTGAGTAGAGTTCCCTGTGCTGTACAGTAGGTCCTTATTAGTTATCTATTTTATATATAGTACTGTGTATGCGTCAATCCCACTCTTCCAATTTATCCCTCCACCCCCCCCTTACCCCCGATAACCATAAATTTATTTTCTACATCTGTAACTCTATTTCTGTTTTGCAGATAAGTTTATTTGTAGCCTTCTTTTAGGTTCCACATGTGAGCAATGTCATATGATATTTGTCTCTGTCTGACTTACTTCACTTAGTACGATCATCTCTAGGTCCATCCACGTTGGTGCAAATGGCATTACTTCATTCCTTTTTATGGCTGAGCAATATTCCATTGTATATACATACCACATCTTCTTTATCCATTCCTCTGTTGATGGACATTTAGGGTGCTTCCATGGCTATTGAAAATGCATATCAAAACTACAATGAGGGGTGAGCTGTGACAAAGCGAGAGAGAGGCATGGACATATATACACTACCAAACGTAAGGTAGATAGCTAGTGGGAAGCAGCCGCAGAGCACAGGGAGATCAGCTCGGTGCTTTGTGACCACCTAGAGGGGTGGGATAGGGAGGGTGGGAGGGAGGGAGACGCAAGAGGGAGGAGATATGGAAACATATGTATATGTATAACTGATTCACTTTGTTATAAAGCAGAAACTAACACACCATTGTAAAGCAATTATACCCCAATAAAGATGTTAAAAAAAAAACCAAAAAACTACAATGGGGTATCACCTCACACCGGTCAGAATGGCCATCATCAAAAAACCTGCAAACAATAAGTGCTGGCGAAGATGTGGAGAAAAGGGAACACTCCCATGAGCTTCAGTTGAAATTAAAATAAAAATTAATTCAATTGATAAACTTGTTTTCTGTATTGGAAATAACACCTTTCTTCTGTATATTTCATCTACAGGAAACATTGCGGTTGTCCCAATTATCAAAACCATTGGTTTGGGCCTTGGAATCTTAATCTGGGGATCATTTAATGCCTTAATCGGCTGGGCAAGCTCAAGGTAACACAAAGCAAAGCGTTTCAACTATGATTCTCTGCACTCACCCTCTGTGTAAGGCCAGTGCTAAGAATGGGACTAGCTGAGAGGAATAATGCTTGGTTCCTACCCTCACAGAGGCCACTACTGGTAAGGCATACACATAACATATGCTACCTTGAATTACTATTTCCCTTAAGTTCTAAAGAAGTGATCTGACGCTCTGATCAAGATAAAGTAAAGAATTGTCTCTAGGGAACAAATAGGGAGAGAGAAAGGACACTGATACTTATGTTCCCTTTCTGTGTGTGGCAATTTGCTGGACATATTATGTACATTATTCCCATCTCATTTTCACAACTATATGAGGTAAGTGCTATCTTATAAGAGAACTGGCACGCAAAGAAGATGAGGAACTTGCTGAAGTTCACAGAGCTAATCAGCCATATTCAAACCCAAGCCTGCTGGTTCTAAAGCCCATATTCTTCCCTCTGGGGTCTGAGCCAGTGTCAGCAAACCCTGGTCCAGCTTCCCAGCCATTTTTGTAAATAAAGTGATATTGGAACACAGCCAAACACATCCGTTTAAGGAGTTTCTGTGGCTGCTTGTTCCCTATAATGGTAGAGGTGAGTAGTTGCAAGAGGCCACCTAGCCCGCAAAGCCTAAAACATTTACCCGCTGGCCCTTAAAGGGAAAGTTTGCCAACCGGCAGCTCTAGAGCTGAGCTGTCCAGTTAGGGTCACCGCAAGCCACATGTGGCCATGCGTATTTAAATTTAAATTAATTAAAATGTGATAAAGTTAAGCATCGAGTTCCTCGGCTGCACTGGCCACGTGTCAAGTGCTCTATCGCCGTATCTGGCGGAAGCTGCCCTATTGTCTGGTGCAGCCTGGGAACAGCTTCATCATCTGAGAAGATCCTTTTGGACTGCACCACCCTCAGTCAGCATTACGATGAACATTCAAGTTGAGTTTGGGAAAATAAACAGAAAGGGGGCTTTTACTCTAACCTTGCTTTCCGGGCCCCTCTTCCCGCTCAAAACACTACAACAACCTCAGTTATAACAAAGCCAGCTAAGTTCCAGTACATTCTTTCCTGTCCTTTCCTCATCCCCGCCCTGCTTTTTACAAGTGCTATTTTCTTTTTCCTGTCCTTGCCTCCTTTCTCTGGCCCTGGGTGGTTCACAGTGATTGTCGGTGATGATCACTACAACCTCAAGACATGGGAAAAAAAAAAAAAAAGAATTTAAAGGGATACCAAAGAGCAGGGATCTTTAACCAAGCAGTTATTGAAGTCTATTTCAAGTATTATACACAATAGCAGTCAACTTGTCAGCATTCTATTACCCACTTAATCTAGTTTTTCTTCCTTCTTCCTTAGTCTTAATGAGAAAGGGACTTTTATTTTAGACAAGTACTTTTACATATACTAGCTCATTTAACCTTAAGAAACCTGTACGTGAGGTATAATTATAGGTATAATTGTTCCAGTTTTAAACATGGGAAATTGAGGCACAATAAAGATAGTTAACTTATCCAAGTCACAGGTAGGAGGTGAGGGACCTAGGATTTCAATCCAGGAATCTGACCCCGAGTCCATGGCCTTAAACACTGTGATGAACACATATTCAACAATATCTACTTTGATATGACTCTTTCAATTTCCAGGTTTGGCTGGTTTGGAATGGATGCAGAAGAGGTGTCAAAACCACTGCTCAATTACATCGGAGCCGGGCTGTCAGTAGTAAGGTACATGGCCATTTCTTATGATTTAACTCTTCTTCCCAACATTCAGGACACTTGTTAAAGATCCTGATGTGTGGACATTGCTTTACACCCACGTCTCATCAATCAACATGATTTTTTCTCAGATTCTTCATTTACATTGACAGGCATGGCTTCAGGGGACAGAAAGTATCAGCTCTGGGGTCAGGGGCCCCAGCCTCAGTGGTCAAAAGCTCTGAGACCCTGGGAAACCTTTTAGCTGCTGTGAAGCTCACTTTCATTATCTGTAATATTCAGAAAAATCATAAGACATAGCTCATAAATGAGGATCAAATGGAGTTAAAGTATTTTGCGAACTAGAAAATGCTGTAAGTCAATGTTATTCTGGCTTCCCGATGCTCTGAAATAGCCACTGATTCTCTCTTATTACTCATGTATTCTTTGCCACTCAGTTTCCACTTTCCTGTCACGTCACTCAGCTCTTCTCAACCCACTCACGTAACAACTCTCTCACCTGTGACAACACACACTCATGTAAATACCTGTTCGGGGATGTCTAGTTATATTCACTGTCTGAATGGCAGTGTTCAGTCCATAAAACCATCACAGAATTAGGTCACCTTAGATTCGGTCCCTTTTCCTCTCTAGGCTCCATCTGTATTTCCTGTCAGCACCTCTCATAATGGATAGTATTGCCTGTGAAGATTTTAGTACTTTTTTATTTTTCAGGGAAAGAGCACTATATTTCCCTTCCTCCTGCAGCTGACGGCTTTTCTCCAGCCACATTCAGGAACAATCTCTTTGTTGTTGAAATGTTGCCTTAGAGAGTTCTTCCAGACCAATCGGAGAGGAAATAACATTGATTATTCTAAAATAGCAGATTCTTGACATTTTTGGTTAGAGGCAATTTTGTATATTTTGTACAATTCACAGAGCATTCAAGCTTTGAAGAGCTCTCTCAGAAAACATTTCTTTACGCCCCAAAATTGGAATGTAGAATGCCTTCGTCTTGACTTAATGATAATTTGAGGCCAATTTATCCACTCCATCAGGCTTTGTTTTTCTCCATGTTCCTTCTCCCTTTAGAAAGTGTACATTCTCTAAAATTACAAATTATTCACGTTCTATCGCTTCTACTTGTGTGACCTTGGGCAAATCACTTAATTTCTCTAAACCTTGGTTTCTTCATCTGGGGATAAAGTGGGGATAATAATTGCACCAGCCTCATAGGATATTTTGAGGATTAAATAAATATGTTCAGTGCTATGTATAGTGCTAGACACATGGCTAATGCTCTATATGGTGGGTAATTTTAATTACACTAGTCACTCTTTTAATTAATAACTATTTCATGTTTGGTTTCTGTTACCCCTTTGGGTCTATGTTGTCCAACTCAACAGTTAACTAGCCAGCATGTCTGGGGGTCACCCAACTTAGTCTGGATCTTGGTCTGAGGCAGGAAAATGCAGTGATCTCTTCTGTGGTGCATCCTGGCTCTCTTCTAAGTTTCTTTTGTTGACCTGAAACAAATAGATGGCCAGATTGTCCCCAGCAAAAATGGGTTTATTCAGGATCAGCAGAGAATTGCAGTTCAGGGTCTGCAACCATGGCGAACCAGTACAAGTCCCTCACATCAAGGGAAGGAGAACGCTTTTATAGAGGACACAAGGAAGTTGGGAGGGTTATAGTAAACAAGGAGTCCATGGCTGTCCATTGGCTGAGGCCTGGCCAGGAAGGAAGAGGGGTCTGTCTCTTTCCCGTTGGGCTCTGCTATGATCACAGGGCATGTGAGCTCCCCATTCTGGTCCCTCGACTCTATTTAACTGAGTTTTCTGTTTGTTAATATTTTTTACCCTTTACTAAAATGAATTTCTGGAACCTTTCCATTTTAACTCCATTAAATCAGTTTGTTCTGAAGAGAATTCATTGAAATGACTTGGAGTTTCACAGCCAGTATAAGGAAACTTGGAATCTGGTTACATTGGTTTAGGATGTTGCTTTTCTTTTTAAAATGGAAACAATTGCTCCCATCCTCTGTATAGTCAACTGTAAAGCGTTGCTAAGGTCATGTCTAGCCTTACATCTTCCCTACGTGTTATCCAGGTTAAGTATCAGTCAGTTTCCATATCCAAGACCACCCCAGGCATCTTGAACAGCAGAGGATTTAGCACAGGGAATTGTTGACAAAAAATGTTATAAAGCCCAAAAGAGCAAAGGGAGAAGGTGGCATCACCCAAAGCCCAGGGCACCCACCCCAGCTGGCACTGTGGGGAGAAATGTGTCTGCCCTGAGCTGCTGACACCCCTGCAGCCACCCAAGGCAAGATGATGCCCGACCTCACCCCACCCCCACCGTTGGCAAAGCCGAGATGAAGCACAGTTTGGGCAAATGTAGTTTTCAATCTTCTAGTCCCCATGGTTCAGGGTGGAAGTGGAGTGGATGCCAAGAAACAAAGTCCAGGACACTCTCTTAGACATGCTTCAGTGAAGATCCAGGAGTCGGAGTTCACAAGAAGACAGATTTCCTTTTCAATTAGAAAAAGGCTTCGAGAGCTTCCCTGGTGGCACAGTGGTTAAGAATCCACCTGCCAACGCAGGGGACACTGGTTCAAGCCCTGGTCCGGGAAGAGCCCACATGTCTCGGAGCAAATAAGCCCATGTGCCACAACTACTGCACCTGCACTCTAGAGCGCTCGAGCCACAACTACTGAGCACATGTGCCACAACTACTGAGCACACGTGCCACAACTACTGAGCCCACGAGCCACAACTACTGAAGCCCGCATGCCTAGATCCCGCGCTCCGTAACAAGAGAAGCCACAGAAGTGAGAAGCCCGCGCACCACAAGGAAGATTAGCCCCCACTCGCAGCAACTAGAGAAAGCCCGCTCACAGCAATGAAGACCCAACGCAGCCAAAAATAAATAAATTAAAATTTTTTTAAAAAAGGCTTTGAATTATCCTTGAATCTACTCTCCATTCTTTTCTCTACTTCCTTAACTTGCTTCCTCTGTAGAGTTGTGTTGTGAGGAAACCCAGATCTTTGATTCTAGCGGTTAGCTTTCTTCAGAGCCACAGTCCTTACGTAGAACTGCGGATCAGGCTAAATATCTCGACATGCATGCCCCCCGGGTGCCTCCTACTCCGTCTCAGGTGGGGCTACCTGTGGAAGGGGACCCTGCCAGGTCAGGCACAAAGTCAGCCCTGCACAAACCCTGGGCTGCTGGTTCCTTTCTATTTGCCTTCAACATTTCCCAGTCAGAATTACTTTTCTTACTTTAGCCTTCCCTGGAAGTTGGTCCCTCTTCCTGTGTTCCTTCTCTCCATAGAAGGTATTAGCCACAGTCATTCAAATTCAGAACCTCGGGCATCTTGAATTTTTTTCCTTTGTACCTGACCCCATATCAAATCCTGTAAAATTCTTTCTGAATCTTTCAGAGGTTCCTCCTCTCCTTTCCCTCGGTCCCATACTACCTGCCCACCTGTATACAGTTGTAAAAATCTCACATCTCAGTTCCCTAGTTCCATTCTTTCTTGTTGCCAGTATGACTTGCTTGTATCTGCTCTCAAATCAGGACATCACTCTTCTATTTAGGAACCCCTGAAGGCTCCCCACTGGATTCAGAATAAATCTGTCTCCTTAATCCAGCATGTCCTCCACAGTTAGAGATTCAACACTTCTTCCTAGCACAGTTTCGCCCTGGGTTGTCAGTTCACTGACCCAGGATTACTTATCATACCCGACAGACACTTCCTTCAGCCCCCAAAGCCCTTTCCTCTGCCTCCCTGAAATATCACTTAAGATTTCCCATTCTATATGATGCTTTCTTGATTTTCTTCTTCTAATTATCAATAGAATGAGTCGCCCCTAAACTCCCATTGTATTTTGCACTTCTTCTATTGCCCACATTCTCAGGGTCTGTGTTGTATTATTCAGACAACCCTCTTTATCCTTAAACTATGAGATCCTGAAGGACAAAGTCTGTTATTTTCTTTGTGCACCATTTCTCCCACCATCCCTATCAGACTTCGCTGCACAGTGCTTGACATATAATAGAGGCTTGCTGGAATCAGTCGTCAGTGTAGACACACACGTGAGTTTTACTAATAGGAATGTGTATAGGGTTGCAAATCTAGGGAAATTGGAAAGGTTGAAAGTATAGAGAAGTACCCTTGCGTATAACATATTGATTTATTTTTAAAGTTTCCCATGCTTTTGAAAGCATTCACAGACTCGATCATGGAACTTTGTGTTTGACACACTGTAGCAAGTTCTTCAAGTCTGTAGCCCAGAAGACCTTGTGATCTATTTGGCTTTATGTTCATATCCATAAGATACATCTCATTACCTCGTCCTAACTTAGTGCCACCAGATTCCCTCTTGACCTAATCGAGCTGGATTCTTCTTTCTGACTCACCCATTTCATGTCTAGTATACAGGCTCAGACCACTGATTCCTTAGTCTTCATTTCTTCCTCATGCTCAGCACCCCGTCTCCCACCCAGTTTGTAGTTAAACTTCTCAACTGACCAACATATTTTGAGATTTTATCATGTGCCAAAAAGTACCCCGAGAATTTTGTAGCCATTACTATTTAATTCTCATCACAGTTCTGTAAAGTGGGTATATCTCCATTTTTTATTTTATTTATTTATTTTTATTTATTTATTTAAAAAAATTTTTTGGCTGCATTGGGTCTTCGTTGCTGCGCGCGGGCTTTCTCTAGTTGTGGTGAGCGGGGGCAACTCTTCGTTGTGGTGCGTGGGCTTCTCATTGCGGTGGCTTCTCTTGTTGCGGAACCCCAGGCTCTAGGTGCACAGGCTTCCGTAGTTGTGGCTCGTGGGCTCAGTAGTTGTGGCACATGGGCTTCAGTAGTTGTGGCTCATGGGTTCTAGAGTGCAGGCTCAGTAGTTGTGGTGCACAGACTTAGTTGCTCTGTGACATGTGGGAGCTTTCCAGACCAAGGCTTGAACCCGTGTCCCCTGCATTGGTGGGCGATTCTCAACCACTGCGCCACCAGGGAAGTCCCTCCCCGTTTTTTAGATGAAAAAAGTTGAGGGTCAGAGAGGTTAAGTGATTTGTTGGAGGGTCACACAGTTGTTTGAAGAAGCACTCTAGGGCTTTTCTCTGTGTCCTTCAAGTATATTTCTAACATATCATCCTCTATTGCTATTAGAAAAACAGATGGGTCTATACAAAGTAGAGGGTTTTCATGGTAACTCTGAGGAGAAAATGCAGTTGCAGTGTCTAATGTTAGCTTTGCGAATTAACATATATATGAGCGCACACACATGCCTATTTAACAGTTAAGATAGACACATATAATCAGGTTTTATGCATTCAATTTTACTGAGTGTCAGGTACTTCGAGGACCTTGAAGCAGATGGAAAATGTGGTTCCTATCTTCTATTGAATTGGAAAGTCTTTAGAGAAAAAAGATTACATGGACCTGTGGCAGATGGTCTGGACCGTGTGATGACGATTCTCAGTGTTTTGGGAATTCAGAGAAGAGGACAATAGGGGAGGACCAGCCAGGGGTGGGGCTCCCTTCTCAGAGTCAGCACTTCACGTCTTCTCTAGTTTGGGTAAGAGGTGAGGACACGGTATGTCCAGCTAAGGAAGGCTCACAAGCGGGACGTACAAGCTTGGAGCAGGGGCTGGTCAGGGAAAGAAGTCCATGGGAGAATTATGTTGAGAAAGGTTGGACAGGGCATGAAGCAGACAGCAGTAAAAATCAAAGCAAAACTTGAATTTCCCATGGCACCATTCACGTTTATAAAGCAGCCAAGAGACTGAACTAAGGAAGCTAACTCGACATTTTAAATTTTTGTACAAAAGATAGCATATCTGAGTTCACTAGTCTGCACTCAGCTACCTATACTATTTTAGTCTCATGTGTGCTTTGAAAACTTCTTATATTGCTTTAACTTTTGAACCATGCAAGTGTTTTTAAAAAGGAATATCAGAAGTATACCAAAGTTGTTAGTTTCCTTCAGTTAATTTAATATTTTAACACATTTTAGCATTTTGGCGTGGTTCAAAAGTCAAGGTCAGTGAGGCATTTGTTACAAAGATACTGGACATGAATAGTCAGTGCCTTGGGAGAGAGAGGTTAAAGGGCAAAAAGGCATTAGGCTTACGTGTGTTTTTATCTCTTAAAATATACTCTGGAGGTCTTTCCATATCACAGCACAGAAGGCATCCTCATTCCTTTTTTATGGCTGTGTCATATTCCACTGGATGATCATGAAGGTCGGCTCACCTGAGTGTGGCTGTGCTTGTGTTAGAGGTCCCGGAGCGGGACTGGTAGGGACAAGAGTGGACACACCTATGCCTTTAGTACATGGCCTCAGGGTCTCCTCTGCAGGGGTCACACAGTTCTGCACTCACACCAGTGGTACTTATCTCCTTGAGTTTGTCCAATTGAGGATGTTAAGCTTTTTTGGGGGGGGGTTGTCAATAGAACAGGTGAGATATATTATTTCAAGGTGTTTCCATTTGTGTTTTTTACCATGTGATTCCAGGGTTAAGCATGAATAAAAAGAAAGATGGGGCCATTGACTGAAACAAGAAAATCAGGAGAAAGATCTGATTTGGGAGGGAAGCTTATGAGTCTAGCTTTTAGGCTGTTGTAATTAAAGACAAGGAGAGATGTCAAAGAGAACAGCAGTGCTGGAGAAATGGCAGGACCCCTGAAGAGGCAGTTTGGAAGTAACCATCGTATCATTAAGATACGATGTTTTCCCTTAAATTCAGGCAACTTAATGTGAACCAGGGTTGTGATAAATGTCACTAAAATTTATTTTCTTTGCAGCGCTTTCATATTTTTGTTCATCAAAAGCAAAATACCAAATAACACATATTCTGTGGACACCACACCATTAATAACAGAGCATGTGAGTAGAGAATGAGAACCATCTTGATCTGAAACATATAATTAAGACAAAAGGAAAATGCATGAATTTGAACGCAGATAAGAGGGTAAAGGGGTATTTTTTTTAAATCAGGGCTATCTGAAATATTTTAGCATATTTATTATGGCTAGGTCTGTGTAGCCATCAATATTTCCACAGTAAAGATGCTCAACAAATACAGAGGTCTACTTCTTTTTATTAACGGTAGATCCCTACTAGGAGATGTACACACAAGCCCATATTTTGAAGTAACTTAAGGATTTCCGCAGTACGGGAACACTGAATACTGAGAAGGAACACGAAAATGACTTTAGAAAGGGGGAGGAAGGAGGCTTTAAAGTAGGATTGGGAGAGGGCAGGGGCCACAGATAAGACAAAGCCAGTGAAAGGGTAAATCAAATCACACGAAAGTGGGAATTAGACTTGACTTTCTCTATTTCTCTTTTCTGCCGTATCCCATTCCACTCAAAGGTGAAGACAGGAAATAAGTAAGGAGTCACTGTTTTGACCCTGAAGAACATAAATTAGTCTGGAATAGCAAGTCTAGGTTAAACAGGGGCAATCTTTACAAGACGGCCCGCAGCACTAGTGCCAGTGGCTCCATATACAGAAGTGGTTCCAGGGCAAACTGCCACGGCCATGAGCACAGACTCCAGCACCATGGATGCTGAGTGTCTCGTGCGCCTGCCCAGTGCTGGCTACCGCCTTTGAAATCCCACCTCCCACCCACACACTGGGGCGCTGCCTCCCTGGAAGGCACTGCCTCTACTCCTTACTTCAAAATGAATCGTTTCTTCCCCTTCCTTCTTCCCCTATCAAAACTCTTATCAACTAAGGTGACAGAAACCTTAGTTAAATTGACGCTAAAGTCAAATAATAAGTAGCTTAGGTGTTAGAGGAAAGAGATGTATTGATCCGTAGGCCTCTCTGATCAGGGAGATGTTTCAGAGAGAATGAAGGAGTGAGACGGGGAGAAGGTGTCTGGTATTCCTTGCCCACATTAGGGGGGTGGGGAAGAAAGGAAAATAAATGCAACTTGGTAAAAGCTACAGAGAAGGCTAACGACCTTAGATTTTTCCATCAAGATGGAAGTATGTAAGCAAACTTAAGTTTAAAGATACATAAAAAGTATTGGTTACGATGCTGCTATACATCACGAGCTGCTCGTGGGGTGAGAAAGCATGATTGCCAAAGGAAAGCTTGATTTAGCACATAACGAAGAATTCAAATGTACAATAGTTTCTCACCTCTTGTGAAAGCATTAGGAGTATGGCATCAAGGAAACTTCAGCTAGGAGACAAAGATGCTTGCATTCAATAGTAGAAATATTATGAATTTGCTCATAACTTTTCCTGACTTAGAATATTAGCTAATCTCAAAACAAGGCTGGAAATGTTTCGTTAGCTAATTTAGTTAAAGAATCTGGATAAAAATATGCCTATTGATCTTAGGTATTCCATAGTAGAAGAGTCTAAGTTCTAATTTCTTTACAAGTTATTAAAATTTGCAAATAGAATGCAAGCATTAATAACTTTTGTTAGCTTTGACAGGTGTATCAAAATAGCCATTTAATAAACTGTGAAAAACATTTAAACAGAGAAGTTGCCCACTGCCAGACCATTCTGAGTGACAGAGAAACAGAATCAGAAACATTTGAGTCTAGAGATGCCCACAGAATCAGTATGCAGGGTGACATGGTCATATTTTAAAGTGCGTTTGAGAGAGAAGAGAAAAATGCTGAACATCTTCTTGTCACCAGTGTGGTTATCAATTGAATGCTGTTTTCCTTTTGATTTTTGCCAATGTTTTCCATAGGTGGTTAACAAAACTCAAGACCCCGATCCTGAACATTCCTGGGTGGATAAACTTTCTACAGTGCAAAACCGCTTAGTGTAAGAAAAGGTTCTCTTATTCTGCTTTATATTTGGTTAAAGCAAGAGTGAAGTAATATTCATCTGAGTTCAAGACGAAAATGGTAACACAAGCTTTGACTTCCTAGCTCCATGGTAGAGAGACTTTCGGGTCGCTTGCTGAATTTTAAGGTACAGAGGGCCTTGGTCTCAGTGCTCCAAGGAATTCCTAAGCCACTGCAGTGTCTCTAGCCAATAAGTAGCTGACAAAAGCAATCTCATTTTGCAGGACTTTCGTGCCTAAAGTAAAAGTAAAGTTAAAAAAGAAAAAGCAAAGTAAAGTAAAACCATAGGCCACAGAGTATAATGGCCAGTATGCTCCCAGGCATCCCAATCGAATTAGGTCCACGTCTCCATTACATTACCCAGGATGCTCTCCACTGGAAATCCCTCCACTCGTGTGTCAGACAGTTTTATAATCCCAAGATATTTATTGTCAAATATAGTAGAATATTTTGTGTCTCTGTAGGCCCTAGTGCCCACCCCCAATTCTTTGTATCAAGACCAGGAGAGTTAGGCTCAATGACAGCCCTTATATTTTAGGGTTTGGGGGGCTGACAGAGAAATATGAGAATGTTTATGTTTTATGTATGAAAATTTTGTATATTTTATATAAGAAATATGGATATGTAATAGTATGTAGCTTGCATTTTTCAGTTGAGGGATGTTTTAGACTTTCTGTGGTGACACCTCAAGAATAGAAGGCATGTCCTCTGTTAGTATATACAATGACCTCACAGTGGGAAAGAGGCAGTACTGGGCGCATAATAGATGATCAATAAATATTTGAATAAATGGAATGAATGAAAGAATGAACTAACCCACACGCTTTGGAAGAAATAAATATGTTGCTATTTTTGCTTTGGAATAAAATAGATATATCAAACAAAACATTTTTCACAAAGCATTGCCTTTGTTAAGGGAATATTTGTTAAGAAGAATGTTTTCAGTTGTCTCATTGGCCAGCCTAGTCTATTAATCTGGTCCACATTTGGGACCCTCGTCCAGGACCAGATGGTCTAGGCCTCCCCAGGATGCAGGGGTTTCCATCATGAACAGAGCTCACTGGCCACGTGAGTGCCTACAGTCTCACATTCCTTAAAACACCACTAAAATAGACTTATTTTTTGGGGGTGGGGCCACACCCCATGGCATGTGGGATCTTAGTTCCCCAGCCAGGGATGGAACCCATGCCCCCTACAGTGGAAGCGTGGAGTCTTAACCACTGCACCATCCCTAAGCATTTGTTTTCAAGCTTGGAAAGGTATGGTTTTTGCCTAAAACTCTTTCTTGTTTCATGCTATTGTCCTTTACATTAAGCCAAAGGGATTGTTGCAAAATATTAATCACCTCCCTGCCAAAACCACTGGAAACACTTGCTTCACGCAGATATGGCCCAAGTCTGAGGGATCAATGTGACCCTAGTGCTTAAGGCAAAATGTTTTCTTCTTACAGGAAGTAATGTTTTACCTGAAATATTCAAATTATTTTGTTAGGGAATTCCCTGGCGGTCCAGGGTTAAGACTTGGTGCTTTCACTGCAGGGGGCCGGGGTTCAACCCCTGGTCTGGGAACTACTATCCTACAGGTTGTCGGCACAAAAAAAAAAAAAAAAAGGTTTCTTAAATTATGTTATTAAATCAGCACTTCCCCTTGACCATGCCTAAGACATAGGCAAGTCTGTGGATCTCAGCAGTTGTTTTGAACAAACGTGTGTTTGGTCCTTAGTCTATTCTAGTCATTATTATTATCTGTGCTATTGTCACAGAGGGTTTAAAAAAGAAGCATAGGGCACGGTGTCAGTCTACAAATACTGCATAATTTAATGAGAGAGCCAGGTTTATTTATGTCGCCTGTAGAATATGATGGCAATATTCCCACCTATGTAATGACAATTTATCATGATAATCCATTGCAGCGTCTGTAAATCATGTCCTTCCACCATTAGATGGTGGAGGACGGAAGCTGCATCACAGCAAGGTGGCATCAGGTACATTGACCCTGCAGGGCACTCCTGGGGCTTTTGCTTGTCACCCCACTTGAGATAGATGGGTGATTGCTACACAATGCCTTGTGATTTCCACTTTGAAGCATGCTTTTGATATGATTCCATGTGTGCGTTTGGCAGAAACATTGCTTTGGGCCCAGATGAATAGTGATTTATTTGTTTTTAAGGGGCTGCAGTCTCGCGGTAATATCTGGAATACTCTATGGATCTACATTTGTGCCAATCATTTACATCAAGGACCACAGCAAGAGAAATGATAGTATATATGCAGGGGCAAGTCAGAACGGTGAGAGGAAAAAGTTATTTTACTTTATAAATAAACTCAATACCCATGTATCTAGTTAAGAGTATAAAAAGAATGGGACTGTGGTAGATATTGGTACATAGATTTGTCGATGAAAATTCAATTAACAGAAGAGTTAAGAAGCGAAAATAGGGAATTTTATCTGAGCCAAACTGAGGATTATAGCCCAGGAGACAGACTCTCAGAAGCTCTGAGAACCGTTCCGCCTGTTAAAAGGCAAACGCACTGTCGTATACTGTTTCGAGACAAAGGATCGTACATCAAAATGACGTACCGATATTTTACGTAAAGTTCACCAAGGACACATAGTCCACCGTTAGCAGCTGCAAAGGAGCAGCAGGTCGCCATGGCCCGCTGCAGAGCTGGGAAAGAACAAGTCTTTTAAGAAGTTATCATACATTGGTAGCATCAGGAGCAAAAAAGAAATTGATCTTTCCGGTCAGGCAAGCGCTCCCATTCTGAGACGCTCCAGTTAAAGTGTAATGCAGATGCGTACCTCACATTAGGGGGGGAGGAAGCCCAGACAGACACAGAGAGAAGTTTATGTCTAGATTTTCTCGGCGTGCCTTAAAATAAAATTTCATTTCATCAGATTTGATCTTACTTTGTCATTGCAAGTGGTGAGTTAGAAGGGCACGGGAAACTAAAAATAAAGGACTGTTGGAATATTTTCATGTGATCTTTAACATACAAATAGAATAAATTTTAGTCAGGATTCATTTCAGCTACTTGGATCTTAACACATGGTTTTTGGCTTTACTGCAAGATTTGGAGATTATTTTCCAGTTTGATGACCTCTAGGAAAATATGTATTCTTCTCCTCTTTAAAAAAAAAAAAACACACAAAAACTGAAGTGTAGCACATAGTACTTTAAAATCAAATAAAGGTCAAAATATAGCCTGCTTAGTGTATAATTTTTCGAGCACAGAGTAACGCATTGAAAGGCCCAAAGTAATGCTGCCAAATTATCTCAGTTTCTAGCGCTAGAATTAATCTCTCAAGACATCACTCCCACACAGTGTGCAACAGCCTTCTGCAGGCTCCGAGGAGGTGAGAGTGTCTAATTCAGGATCCTGTGATTATACTGAAACGTGGCTTACACCCACGAAACGATAAAAGAATGATATCGTGGTTAAGACAGTTCTACATCCATGGCACAGGAAATGAATGTCATCTGTGATCCGATAAGGGAGACTTCTGGAGGGCAAGTCATGAGGGAAAGATTGATGGAGAAGCTGGGATTTGAACTCTAAATGAGCAGATAGACTTTGAGTGACTACCATGGTCTGTTTCTTCCTTTTTATATTCAGCCCCACGAACAGTACTCAAACTTTTATTAATTTCTGTCTTTTTTAAAAGATTTTATACAAATACCTTTTGTATTTTTATTCTTTTCATTTCAAAGGATAAAAACTAACAAAAGTAGAATAGCATAGGATAAATTAAGAGAGAAGGAAAAAAGAGTGACAAAATAAAAGAGCCATGAATGAGTCGAAAAACTGTGCTACACGTGTACACTTGCTAGTGATGAGTCATAATTTGGCTCTAAGATGTCTTACAGCCACAAAGGAGATCAGATCAGTCCCAGAATTCAGCAAACACAAGATAAAAACAACTAATTGTTCAGCAGTACAGTTGTTCTTGGTACTGGGACATAATAAACAATGTCCTCAACAATGTCCTCAACAATCTCTTCCCATAAATAGTACAATCAGTTCTTAGGGATCTTTCTTATGACAACTCAGATGTCATCTGATAGAGATACACTTTATTCCAATTTATTCAAAAATAATTCAAGGGGGCATATTTTTTTAATGTCACTTATTTAGCAATCACATAAATGGTATATGCTCCGTGCTGGGCGCTGTTCTAGTTACAGTAATAACTCAAGGGACCCTCCTAGCAACCTTACTGGTTGGATACCATTATTATTCCGGTTTTACAATTGAGAAAATTAAGACAGAGAGAGAGTAGGTAACTTACCCAAGTCTCCAAGTTAACAAGTGGTGGATTGATGAGTCCCACCAGGTTGTCAGTGTTTGAATCACTAGCTATGCTGCCTTTTCTGGTGGTCTTTGGGTGGATGTGTTGTGATATGACTCAGAGGTAGGATTTATGACTTTAGAAGAGACAAACCCTTTGACTTTCAAGATTTTCTGGCTAAACAGGGCCACTCATCTTTCTCCAAATTTAGTTGAGACATCGAGCCCAGTGTGACCTTCCCAGCCAAGAACCTGCATTACACCCATCTGTTTGGCCAAAGGACCCTCTGCTTTAAATAGTCAGTGGAGTTGGGTTTCTCAGATACTGGGCCACCGTCTGTGTTATTAACTCCCCCGTGTAATTAGGTTTATAGAAAACAAATAAAATCCTCTTTGGAATAACTTCCTGAATATCCTTCTGTATAGATGCCTGGGTAGCTTCCATCTGCAACCTGGAAGCTTGTCTCCAGATTGATCAATACACCATACAAAATTAGCACTTCTAAAATTTTTTTACACACCATCCCCCAACTACAGTCTACTTGGAGATTTGCTACAATGGCTATAGCCATCAGTAAAATTAGGTCTGATACCTGTCCTTAAAAAAGGAGATATGTTCTTTGTTATAAAGCAGAAACTAACACACCATTGTAAAGCAATTATATTCCAATAAAGATGTTTAAAAAAAATTAAAAAGGAGATATTAATGTATATTCACATAATGTTTGTTGTTTCTTATTTAGCTTTCCAAGATAATCATAAAAGCCAGTCTTTCAGGTTTGATTATAGTAACTAACTTCTTACTATTTTAAATATGTTAATTAAAATTCTATATAAATAACATGTAGATGATAAAATAGAATTAATGCTTCCTTTACATTTAAGGTTGATTTGAGTGAGTTTGTTTTATTCTTAGGACTCTAGATGTATTTGAAATGACTAAACTGATATGCTTGAGAGTTTTCTAACCTGTATTTCCAGATTTAGACTACGTTTTTGCACACTTCAGCGGCATCTTCCTTGCAAGTACAGTCTACTTTCTGGCCTACTGTATAGCCATGAAAAATAATCCTAAACTATATCCCAAAGCAGTCTTGCCAGGTAAGAATATTAACGACAGAAACTCTTCTTACTCTGTGAAAGTATCATGCCCTATTCATTTAGCTTGAATAATCGTCTTCTGGAAACCAAGCCATTCTCTGTGTGTGTCCGTTTTTGTGTGTCTTTGTGCGTATGTGTTCATTCCCTCAGTGACTTTGGCCCAGTTCACCACCAAATATGAAGGATTTAAAAACCGTGAAACTGGGTTTGAAATGCCAAGCCATTATTACAGAACCTAGAACTTGAACAATGAATCTAAGATTGTTTCCTGTGCTGAAACATCTTGTGTATTGAGGATCAGACTTTAGTATTTCTTCTTCACCAACTAAGGATGTATATTAAAAGTCAGAGTCCTGGGGCTCTCTCTATATTTTTATCTATCTATCTATCTATCTATCTACTTATTTATTTATGGCTGTGTTGGGACTTTGATGCTGCCCTTGGGCTCTCTCTATTTGCAGTGATGGGGGCTACTCTTCGTTGAGGTGCATGGGCTTCTCATTTTGGTGACTTCTCTTGTTGCAGAGCACAGGTTCTAGGCACGTGGGCTTCGGTAGTTGTGGCTCGTGGGCTCAGTAGTTGTGGCGCACAGGCTTAGTTGCTCCACAGCTTGTGGGATCTTCCTGGACCAGGGATTAAACCCATGTCCCCTGCACTGGCAGGCGAATTCTTAACCACTGCACCACCAGGGAAGTCCTGTATATATTTTTAAAGTGTCAACAAATACGAATCTCCAGTCACTTGGGAAAATAAACATTTTCTCCAAAAATTTAGGGCAAATTATTTTAAAGTTTAAAAAAGTTATGTTAAATACACATGCTTTTGGATTTAATCAGTTAGGCATTGGTTAAAAAAAAGTGTATATATAATGAAAAGTTATAATTTCTCACTTATTTAAGAGTTTGCTATAATTCGATATGGAATATAGATCCACAAGTAAAATTTTTTAAAGAACAAAATAAAGCATATGTCCGAGATTCACTTTGAGTGCCTGATTCATTTAAGCCAAAGTGTGCCACTGTACCGCTATACCGTTATAGAAAATGGTAGAATATTTACTGAATGTCTAGCTAAAGTATCCTGAAAATTTTAGCTGCTATTTTTATTCAAATTCCAGGAGGTTTTTTTTTCCCCCTTAGCTAAGCATCATCTTGAATTTCACATATTTTTTTATATTGTCACTAGGGAAAACATTTTCTCCAAAAAGTTAGGAGAAATTATTTTTGAGCTTAAAAATGGCATGTTAAATGTACATGCTTTTGAATTTAATCCACGAGGCACTGATGGTAATATATCTGTGTGTGTGCATATATATACATACACACACACATATATATAATGAGAAATTATATGTATTATAAATATAATGAGAAATTATAATTTCTCACTTATTTAAAAGTTTGCTATAATTCAATCTGGAATATAGGTCCACAAGTAAAGTCTTTTAAAGAACAAAATAAAGCATATGTCAGAGATTCACTTTGAGTGCCTAATTCATTGAAGACAAAGTGTGCCACTGTACCGCTATACCATTTTAGAAAATGGTAGAATATTTACTGAATGCCTAGCTAAAGTATCAAAACTTTTAGCTGATATTTTTATTCAAATTCTAGGAGTCTTTTTCCCCTTAGCTAAGCATCATTCTGAATTTCACAGATTTTTATGGTCATGGTTTAGAGTAAATGGTGTTTGCAGAATATGTTCAGGCCCAGTATCTTCCCTGGGTCCCCCTCCACTATCCAATCTTTACCTCAACTACTATTTTGGGTACTTGATTTCATGTCAATAAGGTAAAAGGTGATCTTTATACCCACAGCAGTCAAGAAAAGAGAAATCATTTGGTTTCCAAAATGGTCCTAAAACATGGCTAAAAAACCCATGTTGGCCGTCAGTGTTGATAGGAGTGTGTTGATCTGAGCACTTTAACATTCCAGCTCTACCTGGAGTGTGGATTTTTCAGGAGGGGAGGTGGTCGGTAAACGTGTGGTGTGTGTGTGTTTCAGGATTCCTGTCTGGAATACTCTGGGCCATTGCTACCTGCTGTTGGTTCATAGCGAACCACTCCCTCAGCGCTGTGGTCAGTTTTCCAATCATCACTGCTGTAAGTAGCTGAACTGCTTTTCCAAATTTTTGTTTTTCAAACGTAAATCTAATTTTTCTCAAGCATTCTTAGTGAATCACTGAAGCCTGTCATGGAGTTTAATTTTTCAGGAGTATAATTAGTATAACAGATTCATGTAGATAAACTGATACCCTCTAATCGCACGTCCTTGATCTCTGAGGGAATATTGCTAACCTCATTTTAGCAGGTTTGTTAATCTTTGATAACCTTGCAGTTTTTGTTTGGTCGTTTTACCTAATTTCGTTTGGGATACATTGTAATCTGCTATTGATAACAATATTCATCTCTATATAACAATTTATAGATGTAAAAAATGCTTTTGTGTGTATTATCACACTTGAATCTCATGACAGCCTTGTGAGACAGAAAGTATTTCGGCCCCTGTTCATAGTGCTCGTCAATATTTTAAGGAAGGCTTTCAGAAAGTGCTGAAGCAAAGTATTGTCTCTGGATGGTGGCATTTATCATGCATTCGTAACGCAGTTTGCTTCATCTGTTGTTTTTAGGTGCCAAACATGTAGCGCATAGGTAACAGAAAAACAAAAATGCTTCTTTTGACATAGGCAGGACAGGTATTGTCAGGCTTGTGCCCATTTTGAAGATGAGAAAATTGAGGCAGTAGCTGACAGAGTCGTCTGAAAGAACATGGCTACGTGGACATCTCAGGGCTTCTCAGGAGAGAGTTTCTTGCATGCAGGACTACATTTTGCCCTTAGTATAGAATCCAATTTAGAATGTTTCAGGTTCCTTATGGTACTAGGACCGAGACACACACACACACACACACACACACACACACGAATTAAGTGCTTTAACGTTGAGCTCTTATTTCTACTCTAGTATCTTAGGTTGTTAAGTTGTTTACCTGCCTCCCTGCTTCCTAAGTCATCATCATAAACAAAATTTGCCTAAAACATTTTAGCAGCGCACGTGTGCAAGCCTACAAAGCTGGTATTTTCAAACACGTCGTCTGGTCTAAAATACAATTCCATAAAAGTTTGAAACATCCTTAAATTTTAATTTAAATTCTGGGTTTCAAACAGCATATTTTGACAGTTCTGTGTTCATAAAACTGTTGGCTTTATTTTTTATTTGAATTTAGTGGTACACTAAAGTGAACTATTTTAATAGGTTAGGTTTTTTTTAATTTAAAGGGCTCACATTTTGACATTCTTAATTTCTATTGCGGGAAAATGTTATCAAAATTGAGCAAGTTATAAGGAATATATATATATATATATTTTTGTGTGTGTGTGTGTGGTATGCGGGCCTCTCACTGTTGTGGCCTCTCCCATTGTGGAGCACAGGCTCCAGACGTGCCGGCTCAGTGGCCATGGCTCACGGGCCCAGCCACTCCGCGGCATGTGGGATCCTCCCGGATCAGGTCACGAACCCGTGTCCCCTGCATCGGCAGGCGGACTCTCAACCACTGCGCCACCAGGGAAGCCCTATAAGGAATATTTTTAAGTTTAAGTCCTCATCATTGGAATGGCGAAAGACCCAAATTTTTTCACAGAAAGGGTTTGTTTCTCATTATTTCAAAGATATTTAATGCTAGAAGTGACCATATAACAGGAAAATGTAATGGGCAATGGGATATATCACTTACCAGTGAAATGCTTAAAAGTAAATTTGTAGAGCAAAGTATACAGTATGATATGCACCTCGACTAGGGATGCAAATGTTATTTGACAGTCATATCCCACTACATAAGGAGGAATGACACATTAAAATAGATGCAGTCATTAATCACATCAAATTTAAGGAACTTTTTGTATAAAATACACAGATAGAATTAAGCCACACAAGACAGAAGTACAAACACAAATGGAAAATGAAAACTATGATACAAGTGAGAAAGTAAGCAAATAACACAGAGAGTAAATAGTTATGTGATTAAACACCGTTTTACTTTTGCTTGCAAAAGGGGGTGAGACAATGTGATAACTAATTCTTCTTAACTGGGAACATTATTTCCTCAGAAAAGGCCAGTTATTTTCTAACACTAATATTTTTTTTGCTTTTGTTTTTTAAACACTAAATTCTTAATAGAATTTATCCTATGGGGCCTTATACAGGGGACGTGGAACAATAATAAATAATATTCTTCACAAAAATTTTATAGTAGATAGAGATATGGTTTTCCTCCTACTGTTTCTTGTATTAAGTTATGGTAAAGACTTCGCACAAGACATTAAAGCCCAATTCAGTGGAAATAAATGGCTGAGGCAGGTGGGGTGTAGGCAAAGGGCCGGTGGAAGTGGTCACTGTGGCATTTGGAGACTCGCCCATCCGAAGGATGATTCTCAAACACTGTGATGAAAGCAGGCGTCACACCCACCAAGTGTGGCTTCCTCTGGCCCCTGAGGATTGTTTCCAGGAGGGACAGGTATTTCTGGGAGGTGAGGGCCTAGGTCTTTATTGCTACTGGGCTCTTGCTTGGTTTCACTGTCATTAGTTCAAAGACAGCCTTATCTGTACGCAGAAAAGATTCGGCCCTGCCCTTCAGGATCTTACCTTCTTCTTTATTTTATTTTCATGGTAGAGCTAGATTGGTTTTAATTTTAACTTTTTTTGCTGGAAAATTTCAAAGACACCCATCACCCAGCTTTAACAATTATGAATATGGTCAGTCTTGTTTCATCAAGAGTACATTTTTCAAATCCCAGCAGCATACCCTTTTACCCTAGGACATGTATTTCCATTCTTAGGACCCATTGGCGACTAGACTGAGAGTTCCTTGAAAGCAGCATCTACATTGTTTATTGGCAAATATTCAATGAAAAAGAAAAAAAGAAAAGGAAAAGAGAAAGAAAGGAGAACAGCCCACGTAGCAGGACAGCGGGCTGGGTACCTGTGGTCCCGGTCTTCCTCAAGGAATTGAACGGCCGAATCAGCTTCTCAGGAAGGTGGAGCCTCTCCAGATGGCTCAAGCTCACCTTCTTTTCCAAGGCTGATTTATAAATGTGTAATTTGTACTCGTTTACAATAGAAAACTACGCAATCCCAGTGCCGGGACAGCTGTGACTCTTATTTAAGATGCCCTTCTCCGTTGACTGTCCTTTGCCAAACCAGGGTCCGCGCACACTTAGACTTCTGCTTGGGTTACATCTAGCAAAGCACGGCTTCCAGCAACCACAGTGCTCCTTCCAATAACTCTGAGGCCATGTCTAAACTCATATTTAGGAAGTCATCAGCCAGAAAGCTTCAGAGGTCAGTGGTACCTCTTGGTATTGTCTTCTCCCACGTACTCTGAAGGGATTAAAGAGGATAAAATTCTTGAGTGATTGTAATGATAGCATTAATATTTACACCCTATTCTATCATTTCCTCCCATCCTGCCCCAGGTCACTATGAACCTGCTAAAGGGCCCAGGTGTTTCTTGTTCCGTTTGGATTTTGAGGCTTAGGACCATACGTCATTGGTAGAAGACAGTTCCTTTGACCTATTTCTCTGGCTCTTTTGATCTTGACTTTTCCAGATCCCAATAAACAGAGTGTTCCTATTGCTTTGCTCACCTGCCAGGAGTGGAGTCCAGCTTCGGTGAACCAGTCATGTAGACAGTTGGAGTGGTGGAGGGGAAAACAGGCTGGGATTGTTTATTTGAAACTCTTCCAGAGTGTGTGCAGGGTTTGAAAAGGAATCGTCAAAATGCTGATACAGCACACCTTCTACACAAAGACTGCAATTAATCTAAATTCCAATGTTTTCCTTTCTCAGTGAAAAAAATTAATAAACTTTAATAGCTTCAAGTTTTCAGCTATTTCAGTTTTCAGAATCTTCCTTTTTCCATCTCATTTCTTCTCTTTTGTGCTGTATTATCTCATTCCTGTCTTTGTCTCCTGCTCACTAACCTGTTGTTTATTTTTCCTTACACGGTTTTCCCATCTTCCCATAATACTATCTGTAGCATTCACTAGAGCATAATGTGAGACATAGTTGATTACTGTGCAGTAATATCAGCTAAAGAGAACCTTTAAGTACATGCTGCTCCCATATGCACATTATTTTTCAGGTCCAAAAGAACATACTAAAATTTCTTTAGTTATGATATTATCTAATGTCAAAGGAAGTTATAAGTTTATTCATACACGTTTTCCTCTTAAGCCCATTTCTAGAATCCTAAGGAAGTAGTTCACTAGAAAAAGTAAACTATTTGCTTGTTAAAATATTTTATTATAAATCACATTAAAGAAACACATTGTATGGCATAAAATATTATAGCATCATCAAAATAATAAAAATGAAAACCATAGAGAAAAAAAAGGAAAAAAGTCTTCATTTTTTCACCTAACGCTACTTAGTTTAACTCAATGGTGAGCTCAGATTGAGATTATGAACAGTTTTTCCTGACAATATTGTTATATTTTTACAATAGAAGTTTATTTGAGGAAAGTGTCAGATCAGCTCTCCACCTTACTGTATTTGTGTAGAGTACAGTCACAGAAAAATAACCAATTTAAATAAAGTTCTTATTTTTTTTTAAGGGTCCAGGATTTATAGCTGCAATGTGGGGTGTCTTCATGTTTAAGGAAATACAGGTATGTACACGAAAGGTGCAGGTCCAGTTGAGAAGGGTATTTAATACTATGTGTTATTTTCTGAAAATTGCATGCAACATGAATGAATTTGACAGGTCAGATGTTCAAAGTGCTATCATCTCTAACTAGGAAAGAAAATATTAATGATGTGACAATTATTATGAACATGCTTTTCTCCACCCCAGCTTCAGGGAAAAATGCTTTAGTTGACTTTATTTTCCTGTAAGAGATTTTGGTTAAATAATCCAATAAAATATGATAGAGGGGAAATTTTATCTATTGTAAAATATGGTAGATAAACAAGATGAAATATTTTTTATCCCAAAGATTAAAATATCCCTGAGGCAAATGGAATTTGGGAATAGATTTTCTGTTGGCTCTCATGCCTCCCAAGGTCTTCCATATCCAACCACAAGCTTTACAGGAAAACAGTGTGGTAACAGGTGACAACTAACTCTTCCCTCTTGAGTGTAAATGGTGCTGACATTTTTTTTTTTTTAATTTATTTGGCTGTGCTGGGTCTTTGCTGCTGTGCACGGGCTTTCTCTAGTTGTGGCAAGCGGGGGCTACTCTTCGTTGTGGTGCGTGGGCTTCTCATTGTGGTGGCTTCTTTTGTTGTGGAGCACAGGCTCTAGGTGCACAGGCTTCAGTAGTTGTGGAACGGGGGCTCAGTAGTTGTGGCACATGGGCTTAGTTGCTCCATGGCGTGTGGGATCTTCCCGGACCAGGGCTTGAACCCATGTCCCCTGCACTGGCAGGTGGATTCCTATCCATTGCGCCAACAGGGAAGCCCCCAATGGCGTGGACTTAAAATTGCATTTATCAAATAGTTCTAGGATGTGTGTGTGTATTCTCATTAAAAATTGTTTTAGGATTTTTCCCCTTTACCTTTATTTGTGGAAAAAGTCTTCAGTTGAGCAATCTATGTGAATAGTATTTTGTAATAGTTTTTACTAAAAAAATATATAAACTAGAGACACTGTCAAGGCATCATAGATACAATACTTTTTGTCTTAATAAGCAGCAAATAATTCCTATTTCTAAGAAGATCTGATGTTGCTAATCTCTGGGAGCCATAAAGTGAACATGTCACTGGATAATTCTTAAAATGATTATTCAGCTTTACATTTAAAACATCATTTCATTCATTCCAAATGAAATGTTTTGACTTAGAAAGCCATAAGATGTTAATACAAGTAAGATTTTCAGATTGAAGAAGTAATAAATTTGTTTAGAAGGTATTTGGATCACGATCTTAATTTTTGTGTTTTTAAATTTACAAGACAATTTAAAACATTTATAGACCCATAAGTTACTTTTGTGCACATGTTTCTTACTTATTTTAGTTAGGGTTGCTTTCCACAGAAAGTAATTCTATGCCTAAGGCATGCTGTAAATCTCTTTGCAAATATTTCATCTGCCTCGTGAAGGATAATGATTTCTATAGAATTGGGTGTTATCCAGCATAACACTCTGAAGCCTTAGAAAAGAACAAGTAAGTAACCATAGCTTATTTACAACTATAGATATAAATAAGCACAAACTGAGAATAGATTTATTATGAAGCATTTAAAAATTATTTTAGTCACTACCACAGTAATAATGATACTGAATTTTAAATCTTCTTCCCTAGATACAAGAACTCCCTTGAGAGAGAGAATCCCTAACCATTGGGCCTCGTGTTAATTCTTCAGAGTCCTCTAAAAAGACACTAAGCACATTCAAAGAAATGTTTTTTTAAGACACCTCTTAAAAAATCAGCTCAGGCCAAATAGAGGAGGAACTTTTAAAAATGATAAAACATGACCAAGTAGGGTTTAATTCAGGAATGCGAGGATGGTTCATAATATGCAAGTTAATTAATGTAATTTATTATACTATTAGATAAACAGAAAGAAACTCTGTGACAATATGTATTCAAAAGGCACTTACTAAAATTAAAAACCAGTTTTTAATTAAGAAAACAACCTCTTACAATAGTAGAAACCTCTTACAAATAGGAGGACGCTTTAGTTGATACAAGATGTCTATCAAAAAACAATAGCGAATATGTAACTAAGGTGAAACATAAGAGTTCTCTGTCAATTCTATCTCAATAGAACTGAAAAAAATAAGAGTTCTCTGTAAGTTGGAAGTCATAGATTTTCCATCATTGCTATTATTCAGTATTTTCTGGAGATCCTAGCCAGTGTGATAAGATAAAATTAAGAAATAAGAGGACTAGATATAGGAGAGAAAATTGTCATTTGCATATAACATTCTCTTCTTTAAAAATTTAAGAGTATCAGCTGAAAATCTTGAGACCCAATAAGATCATTTACTAAGGCACTGAAATATAGGATAAATATTAAATCAATAGCTTTCCAATATGTCACCAAGAACCAATTAAAAAGAGGAAAATAATTGCTATTAATACCTACAAAAAATTATAAAAATAAAATAATTAACAAGAAATGTGCTAGATTTATAAAATCTTTTCCTTTACTGCAGAAGTTTACTACAAAACATAAAAGACTATCAGAACAAATAGGAGACTCATATATCCCTGATGGAACAGCTCACTATGGTTTAGGCAGCACCTCCAATTACATTCAGTGTAATTCAGATAAAATCCCAGTGTGTTTGATCTGCAGATTTAGAGTGAGTGCAAAAGTTTGGCCAAGTATGTAAGTAAAAATAGAGAGAGGACAAAGCTGAAAGCACAGTGAGTTTTGCTAACCTTTTAACTCTAGTTCAAAAAGCCTTACAAATCTGTCTACAAACAGAACTTAAGGTGTGTCCAGCGATACTTGTTCAATGCATATACTGAGTTGCCTCTTGACAGCAACTTTAAAGGAAAGTTTTAAATACTTCCCATGCCAACGAGTTTAACAAAGAGTTATCAACTAGACAGTGATACCATAATCCTATCTGAATTTTTTAAATTATTTTTCTTAAAAAGAAGATAAAACCATAGAGGAAAACAAAACCAACACGTTTTCCTTTATGACTCATAGGTCCTATCAGCTATGTCTTGAAGCAGTCCTCAAAGACACGTATTTAAAAGTCTACAACCTGGAGCAATAAGGACTTAATGGGAGATCCAAGCACTCTTTGAGTGAAAGAGTTTAACGATTTTATTTCATTTTAATGACATCAGTGCTCTGTTTGTCTGATTTGCCCTTGAGACATTCTTTTATATCTGATATCTGTTCTTCTTGGGAAGTTTGTTTTAGAATCTTATATTTAGCTATTGTAAACTAGACAGACATCATATTTTTAGCAACACATTTTAGTCAGTGTGTCCACAGAAATCCCAATGCAGGGGATTGTTGCCACAGCAATTTACAGGTCCGTAGCAACGCCCAGATAAAGAATGAGATGATTTGTCATTTTAGTAGCTGTCTCAGAAATCCAAGTTAAACACTTTTCTTTGCTTCGGGAAGGAATGTTAGCATGATCTTTCTAAGAGTCAACATTCACCTTTGACAAAGGAAAACAAATATAATCAGTCTTTTTATCTAGGACACTAGGCAGTTTGGACAGATTCTTAACCTTAAAAGGGAAAAAATTTTACCCCCTAAGGACATTGTTCTTCTGTCTACATAGACAATAAAATAGAGCGCTCATGAAGTGTTCACATAATTAGGTGGTAAAGTGCTGATAAGTGAGGCCCCATATATTGTTTTTTATTTCAGTGATTGCATCAACTGGCTAATTCACAGAGCACATTTGGAAATTGCCCGAGTGTATTGATTCTTTGAACAAATATTTATTGAGCGCCCACTCTGCACCAATATTGGCATCTAGGCAAAGGCTGCAATCTTTAAGACTAAGAAAAAGATGTCAGGGACCCTTAACGCCTTCATGCAGGAGTGTGTGTGTGTGTGTGTGTGTGTGTATGTAAATAGGCTGCCCTGTGCCTGGCAAGGATTTGTGCTGTCTTTCACTTGTAGAGCTTGAATTAGAATGACTTCTGGTAGGGTTGGTGCTGACAATGAGTCAGGTAATTCAACCAGCCCAACCCAACTTGCAAAGACCACTGTGGTCATCAAACAGACGCAAAATCACCCACTTTAACCCAACTGTTTATCAAGATGAAAAAAAAGAGGATATACATTTTTGACTATATATTGTCATTAATCTTAAAAAGAAGCTGGTAATAGTATCATATGATTTGACTACCAGGAGATCTCAGTGTAATTGAGACCCTATATTACTTGCCTCAGAGTATTGGGTCTATATTTAAAGAGCTATATAGACAGCCTGGCAATCATTCAGAAGGAAACATCCAGGACCGTGCGGGAGCTTGAAACCGTTCCATTTGAAAGATAGTCAAAGGAGCTAAAATATTGACCAGGGAAAAAGATGCTTCAGGGATAAAAGACATTTATTTTTCAGTGTTTGAGGGTTTATCTTGTGGAAGAGAGATTAGAATTGATCTATCCGTACCCCTAGAGATGGAACTTATGAGAAATACAATATTTCTACTGCGCACAGGACGGTATTTCTTTGTTAAGGTACAGAGGGACTGGCTGCGGTGGGAAGTGGTCCTCCGTGCTTCCATCTTTAAGACAACATAGCTGGGCGAGTAAACTCCATCTCTGTTTTTCCCTTGCCCTTTAGACTGGTCTCTGTCTCTCCGTCTTCACTGCATCGTTTCCGCCCAGGAGGACTGCAATCACCTTCTCACTGGTCCCCTTGCATCCCTTCTGGCTCCCTCCAATCTGTTCACCATCTGCAAAAGCGTGGGCTTTACAAAATGCAAATCCCATCTTTTCACCACACCCAGCTCTGCCCATTCCTCCGATGTTTTCCTACTGCTTGGAAAAATAAAACCAAAAGTAGAGCATGGCCTCTAAGATGCCTGTGTGCTCAGGCCCATAGCTTCCAACCTCATCGAGCTCCACCTAACTCGCTGCTGTAGCCTCTCGGACCTTCTCTTAATCCCTGGCGAGTACCATGTTTCTCTTGCAGCAGAGCTCTGCACACACATTCCTTCCACCCAGGATCTCTACCAGCTGCCCTCCTTCCCTATTCAGTTCATTGATACTTAGAAGCTCAACTCAACCTCAAACCTCCCACCTTAAGATTCCTTGGTAACACACAAACAGCCTTGGGCGTTTGCTTATTAGCCTCTCTCTGTCTTTTAACATGCCTTTCTGTAATGATTTTATTCATTCCTGTCTCCCATATTATGTGAGTAACTGAATAGGGGCACGTTTTTGTTCACCATTTGAACCCCAGCAAGTGTGGATGCATAGTGGGAGCGCACATGCGTTTACTGAATGGTTAAATGATGGAGGATCTGCGGGGTTTCCAGAGAGTCAGGAAGATCAGGCAGAGGGGTAGCAAAAAACATACAGGAGGTAGACCAGATGGTTACTAAGGTCCACAGCAATGTTGAGAGTCTGTGCTGTTTGCATATTTGGCTCGGGTTTTCTTAATGACAGTTACTCATTTTTATTACTTAGGGTCGACAAAACTACCTGCTGATGATACTTGCATTTTGCATCATCTTGGCTGGAGCCTTATGCACAGCTTTTTCTAAACTCTAACAACCACAAGGCCAGCAGATGGCAGCAGTGCTTGAGAACACGTCTCTCCTGGACACAGAGTCTGCGCTGAGAACAAGGTTCATGTTCATACAGCAAATGGATCTCCATCCATCCCGGATTAGGGTAAATGATTTTTTTTCCCCCACAAATGTGAGAATGAAGGAAAACACTTTCAGTCGAGCATAAAAATGAGAAATTCTTCTAATGAAATATTTATGAAGCATTACACCTAAGGATGCTGCTTTAACGACTATATGTATTTACTGGTGCATAATCTAGAAAACAGTGTGGATTTCGTATACAAAGAACTTGGTACATGTCCAAATTTCCAACATATGAACCTCATTATTGAAGAGAGGCATAAAAATGTTTGGGGAGGAGTGGGAAGAAGACTTATAGTGGAATTAGAATCCAAAGATATCTGGGGCCTTTGCGAGAAAAAGTAAATGTCAGAGTTGGTAACAGAATATGAAAAGGGCCATTTCATTATTTTTAGCCCAGACTTATTTTAACCTCAAATTAATGTTGCCCAGTTCTCCATCACCCACCTGACTTAGCTCAAAGTGCCTTTTGATTATCTCCAGATAAAATCCATCCTCAGAGAACAAAAACTTCCACTGTTGAGAATGTGTGTAACACATATACATACATAAACAAGTACACACATGAATACACATGCATATATGTATGTACTACTCCAAATTGGGGGGAGATTCTAGAATTGGTGAAGTGAGATTCTAGCTTATCGGAGTGAGAATTTTAAGGGACCAACACACTCCTTTAGATGTACAATTTAATTTTTTTTTCTGAAATATACTTTTCTAAAATCCCTCTTGTAACCGGTGGTTTTCTTCCTGTTTTAACTGGCGGTTTCCACTAGGTAAAAGAAAATCACAGAAAATGATAGTGTTCTTTAAGAAAACTGAAATGGAACTGCTAGTACAATGTTTATCACCGTGGTTCCCAAACTGTCAAAATAGTCGAATTAAAAAACCTGGAAGAGGGCTTCCCTGGTGGTGCAGTGGTTGAGAGTTCGCCTGCCGATGCAGGGGACGCGGGTTCGTGCCCCGGTCCAGGAAGATCCCACATGCCGCGGAGCGGCTGGGCCCGTGAGCCATGGCCGCTGAGCCTGCGCATCCGGAGCCTGTGCTCCGCAACGGGAGAGGCCACAACAGTGAGAGGCCCGCGTACCACACACACAAAAAAAACCTGGAAGAGTGCTGTGTCAATTTCACCCACTCCCTCTCCTAGAAGCACTTTACTTTGTTGCTAGGACAGGCAGAAGGTGTGTGACTCCCTAGTTAATCTGTATGGGTTCAAATCCCGCCTCTGCTTCATCTTGTGTGACTTTGGATAAAGGCCCTGCACCCCCTGTATCAGAGTCCCTATCTGTAAACTGGAGATAAGGGTAACATCCATCTCACATGGTTACTGGGATGTTCAAATTAGTGAAAATCTGTGAAGTATTTTCATGAGTGTCTGGTGCTTGGCAAACATATAATTCTTTTTTTTTTAAATTCACTTTTGGCCGCACTGGGTCTTCGCTGCTGCGCGGGCTTTTCTCTAGTTGCGGCAAGCGGGGGCTACTATTCATTGTGGTGCACAGGCTTCTTATTGCGGTGGCTTCTCTTGCTGCGGAGCACGGGCTCTAGGCACGCGGGCTCAGTAGCTGTGGCTCGCGGGCTCTAGAGCGAGGGCTCAGTAGTTGTGGCACACGGGCTTAGTTGCTCTGTGGCGTGTGGGATCTTCCCGGGCCAGGGCTTGAACCCGTGTCCCCTGCACTGGCAGGCGGATTCCTAACCACTGTGCCACCAGGGAAGTCCCTCTAATTCTTAGCTATTGTTATATGTCTTGTTTGAGAAAGAAAGCCTGTGTCTGTAGATTGGAGAATACTTTGTAAGAGCTACTCCTCTCACCACCATCCACACTCAAACAACTACTTATGCCTCTCTATGAGCTCAATTTAAAAATGATCCTGGAGTCCCTGTTTAATTGTTGAAGTGTGAATATAAATAAATATTTGATTGTAACGTCTTCCAAAAATTTTAACCTAAAATGTTGATATCTTTGAATCAACTGACATGATACGAAGCTATTTTTCTTGTTTAAATATATTTAAAATTTTTATATTAATGGCATTGAATTATTCTTTAGCTGAGGTTGCCAGTTTGTATGCAAAATTTTAAATGTGAAGTAAAGCAATTGCAGAGGAAAAATGAAAAAAAAAAATCTTATTACCACTCTACAGTTTCCGCTACCAGATAGTGCCTATAATGTTAGGATAGTAGTGTGGGATAGAACAAGCTTTTTCAAAATGCTTACCAAACAAACAACTTTTTATGTAGAGGTTAGTCTAAATGGGCAATTTCCAAATCTCCACTCCCTTCGCTTATCTTAGGAAGTTAATGCCCATGGTTCTTAAAGTTTGGGGGTTTCCTTTTTCCTTGTCTAGTATGGTCAGATTCTTGTGTATGCATTCATTTTGGCTTGGCTTTCTGTCTCTGTGTTCAGAGGGCAGTACCTTAGGAGGGCATAGCCCCCAATGAAGCTGGCTTCCAGATTATGGTAATTTTCTACTATCAGAAGAAAAATGCCTGATTACCAAAAATCCCTAATGAGTTTTAAAGAATTAATAGTACAGACTTTCCCCTGAGCTACCAAACCTCGTTTTAGTCCTGTTATACTGATTTATTTGTACTTACAGAGTTGCTACCTACTAGCCTTGTATGTATCACTATTGGGAGAGCTTCTGAAAAACACATTGAGTAAAAAAAGGTGAGTTGTAGAGATGTGTGCATGGTATGATACCATTTAAATAAATTTTTAAAAATCAAAGAAATATGTACATTTTCTGTGAATTCATATGTATGCAACATATTAGAAAAACATGTGTACCGAACTCATAATAGTGAGAATAAAATGGTGACACTAGGTCAAGGTGACCTTGAGCATTACCTGTAATACTCTAATTTTTATGGCAATGAATTCATCTATGTGTTCTTTAATATGTGTTAAAGAATCAACGGCAGAAAATCTCAGAAGCATATGTCTAAATGTTAAAGTAATTCAAACTAGGTACTGTTTAAAATATCAAAGCAAGAATACACACACACGAACACACAAACTAAAAACACAAAGATCAGGACAAAACTGGGAAATTTTCCAGTGTGGGAGTCCCACCTCCTAAAGGTGGAAGCCAGAAACTCGCTTTCCTAGCCTCCCTGTGGTAGAATCTAAGGGTTTTTCTGACCATGGAGCCTCCAAGCCCAATTCCATGGTCCTGCGGGAGATTCTGTGAGCTACCTAATATAGTTGTTGCAGAAATTTGGCCTCATTAAACAACAACAACAACAAAAACTCACAAATACCTTGTAGTCTATTTTAATCAACTTTAAGAGGTATAATTTGCATCCAATAAAATTCTCCCATTTTAAGTGAACAGTGCTGTGAGCTTCAGCAAATATATACTCATGTAACCACCACTACACCCTAGATACAGAACATTTCCAACAACCCAAAAAGTTCCCTTCTGCCTCTTTGTAGCTAACCGGTGATCTGTTTTCTGTCATTCTAGATTACTTTTGCCTATTCTAAAATTTCATATAAATGGGATCATACAATGTACCCTTCATATCTGATTTCTTTCATCTTCTAGCCATTTTCAAACAATGTTTACTGATCTGAAACAATTATAATGCATTCTCAATCGTCCTCCCTAGTGGAAGAAAGCATATGTGTGTATTCAAAATAACAACTAAAGCAGAAATGATTAACATTTGGAATTGTTATATTTAAGTGTGTGATGTGTCATGTTCCAGAAAGTCACCATTTTAAATTAATAGTGTGGTTAAGAAGAATTCTTAGCTACCCTTTGAGTCCATCCCCACTCTATAATGTTCTCTTTTGAGGGGCTGTAAGATATTAAACTCCTTAAACTAGATGACCTCCATTTACTACATGTTGAAAAAAACGCCTGTTCTTGGGTTTCTTACAATGACCTAATGGATTATAATCTCTGGGGCTGGAAAGTATGAATTTGCATTTTTTACAAGTACTCTTGGTGATTCTTTTTTCATACCTTGCTATCTAAAAGATTTCAAAGTACTAGGTTATTACAAAATAAAAAAGAATATTGTCTTCCACTCCTAGAGGAAAGAGAGAAGATATAAAAGAATAGGTATCCACTTAATTTTATGAAGATTTTTAGGAGAAAAAAATGAAAGGTTTGAAACCATCCTGTTTACGTGGAATTTTTGGCAAAAAATAACAGTAATAACGACTGGGCATCATATTACCTTTTTTGGCTCAAACCACGTAACTTCCACACATCGAATCATCTCTGCCTGGTGGCCAAGCCTATTTTCACTTCAGATTATGCAGACTGATTCTTTCTCCAGTATAAAATCTCTAACACAATTCATGTTGACAAGATCCCATGAAAACAAACAAACAAAAATTCCAATTTCCAAATGGAGATTTTGCAACAAGATCTAGTGAAGCAAATTTAAACACTTGAATACACTGTTTGGTAATACTATCATGTGGAGATTTTCATGATGTGTCTGAGACTCTAGTAAAAACATGTTTATTATAAACACACAAAAGAACATGCAATTCTTAAGAGGTTCTCCTCTGGATCGTACCTGATCTGACATTAATTCGAATTTCACTCACTTATCTTGAAGTCAAATTAAGCTCTATAGAAGTAAACATGTGGAAGCGTGTAAAAAACATGGTTCAGCCTTTTAAGAAATTTGTGCACAGTCTGAAAAAGGAAACTCAATAGATTCTCTCCATGTGTGTAATGCATCTTTCAGCTGAAACCTGACACAGAGCTGCTGAAATACAAAGGAGGAGGGTAAGTTGTCATTTACTTGACCGGTCACAGCATTATGAGCTTGGTGGTCAGTTCATTCACAATAAATTTTCTAAATACATAAAACGTTTCAGTAAGTGATAAAATTCCATACATTTTGATGGAGAAAAACATGATAAGACTATGTTCGAAATAGTGCTTCTATTTGGTTCAAAATATGATATAGTAAGAGAAGGAAGCTTTGGGGAAACTTTGAGGTTTACTTTTATTGAGGCAAGTTGTGAAATTTGCTGGATGATAGGCCATGGGTAAGAGAAGGTCGGTGTGTGTGGACTGAACTGACGCTTCTTCACAGCAGCTCCTAACAATGTCTGCTGTATGAGGAACGGAAACCAGCAAAGAGCAAGGGGGAGTTGCCCTTATCTGATCTTGCAGACAGCTCTCCACTGGTTTTCAGTGTATAAGCGTCTACAGAGAAGCTTCTTCATCTTGTCTTACAGCCCCAGTGAAAAGTGGACACCCACTAATGACCCCACTGACATGCTGGGGAAAGGTACCCAAGAACAACTCTTTTGAGGACTTCCCTGGTGGTCCACTGGTTAAGACTCTGCAAGGGGGAAGGGGAGGGTGGGATGGATTGGGAGATTGGGATTGACATATATGCACTACTATGTATAAAATAGATAACTAATGAGAACCTATTGTAGAGCACAGGGAACTCTACTCGGTACTCTGTGGCGACCTAAACGGGAAGGAAATCTAAATAAGAGGGGATATATGTATACGTATAACTGATTCACTTTGCTGTACGACAGAAACTGACACAGCAGTGTAAAGCAACTATACACCACCCCCCGAAAAAGACTCCATGCTTCCAGTGCAATCCCTGGTTGGGGAACCAAGACCTCACAGGATGTCTAAAGCCCCACACCCGAGTACTCACCCCAAGGGGATTAGCATCTGAGATGCGACTGAAAGCAAATAGGAACAGTACATTGTAATGAAAAGCAGGTTCAGAGGAAACGTTACATTTTTGTTAGTAACAGGAAATATATCATACTTTGAAGACTATAGAGAAAATCACTGGATGGTGTTAGGGCCCCTACATACTACCAGCAGTGAAACTGTGGGCAGGTCATTTGATTCCCCTAGATTTCATATTTTTGTTTTTAAAGAAATAGTTTTTATTGTACAAGTAGTAAAGTTCAAGTTTGAGAAATTTAAAATTGTCAATCAGAAAAATTATCTGACCAGAGTAACCATGAAGAGCACTAGGTATGATTGCTGGCTTAAGAGACTATAGCCTGATATACCGTGATAATAATGTACATGTCTGTGTTCCTAAAATATTCATTTTAATATGCCTGATAAATATGCATGGTAAAATTATTTAAGGCATTAAATAATTCATTGTCTATTTTTTAAGATTAAGTAGTGTAACAGATCGAGGAAAATATTCTTTCTTATTATTTCTGCATAAATTGTAACATATATAAATACCTAAATCCCAAGTATATAAGTAGTATTATCCAATACAATTTACTACTTACAGTTTAGAAAAGTGTAGAATTGGGACCTCTCCAAAAAAGAGCCACTCAACCTTAATAACTAGGGGAAATGTAGTCAGGTGAGTTAGTGAAAATGGGATATTCGTACAAACTGAGGCACTTGGTTGCTCTACCTTTAGTTATTTTGACGTATGCTAAATAACCATTCATTTAATTCATCTGTAGAAATACATGTTCATATTTGACCACCAGAAGGCAGTATAGGCTTAGTTGTGATAGTCTTTATGTTAAAACATGTAAACTTTATTTTTTTTTTAAGTTTGAGCTTCCTCACTCTTCCCCGTCCCCACCCCTGCCCTGCCTTGCCCTGCCTTGCCCTGCCTTGCCCTGCCCTGCACCTCTCTTCGGAAATGACCATAATTTGCCATCAATGGTTTTTTTTTTTTTTTTTTTGCGGTACACGGGCCTCTCACTGCTGTGGCCTCTCCGGTTGTAGAGCACAGGCTCCGGACGTGCAGGCTCAGCGGCCATGGCTCACGGGCCCAGCCGCTCCGCGGCATGTGGGATCTTCCCGGACCGGGGCACGAACCCGTGTCCCCTGCATCGGCAGGCGGACTCTCAACCACTGCGCCACCAGGAAAGCCCCATCAGTGGATTTAAAAAATATAAACTAGGAAAGAAAACTACTATCTACCTTATGTCTTATACGTATCAGTCGAATCCCCAGTGTGACGTCTGCTTTTCAGTCTGTAAGTTTTCACGCCTTTTCAGCTTTATTATTTGGACTTTATGATTTGGTTTCCTAGAAGTTGAACACATCACAGAATGAACCCACACCTAGAGTTGTTCAAACAGAAGGGTGTGTCGCCTTAGAATATTCAGGACCTAGAAGAATTCTCGCAGCCCGTGCTGCCAACACTGTGAGTAATGCCGAGCAAATACTGAGCTAGAAGTCTCGTAATTCTCTGAGCCAGTGACAGAGCCGTCGTTACTAAATCGTCAGGCTGAATTGCCTCAGGTTTCTCTAAGATGCTCTAATAATTCTTCAGCTTCATTAGGCATTTTAGGTCACAGAGACCTGGGACTATTTGCCCTGCTATTTTTGAAGAACTTTTTGCAACCAAGAGGCAGGAATGTTTTCCCAATAGGCTATTAAGAAATCCTACGCTGTATCTGGATGGATTCTAAATATGGATTCTTAAGGGTCTTCCCATCACTGGTAGACTGGCTTGTGGAAGGCGAGTTCTCAGTTCCTATTTCCTGGGTACAGAACGATGTCTTACTAAGGTGAACTGTTTGACGTAAATGGAGTAGCAAATGAGCCTGATGTCTGTTTCAGCTCTTAAGTGCCTAGTGGAAAATTACCGTGAAACAACTTCCACGGAGATAGGAAAGCTGGACATGTCTAAAATGCTCAGATCAGAAACGGAGATATTTTCCAGAATCTTCTTAGTTTCTCTTCATTTACACAACAGAAGTCATTTAGAATCCTGTCTCTTCATTTACATCATCTCGTGATGCTTCCTATTGAGGACCTCAGGTCTGAAATTCCAAAATCCCATATAGGTGCTGTCTTAGTAATAAAACCTTCAGCTTTCACATGGAAATATAACATAGTTCTTAAATAGGTGGTAAGAAAATATATATAATTAACTCTCACAATATATTCCAATAGGATTTTGTGCATTTTATTGGGGGTGGAGGGGTTGAATGACAACTTGGTATTTATTCCAGCACCATTTGTTGAAAAATTCTGCTTTTCTCCGGTGTTCTGAAATGTTTTTAATGAATGCCAAATTCCTATAGGTACTTGAATAAATCTGTGGGTCCTGTAATCATTTTTTGTGCTAGGACCACCGAGTTGTAATGTACTGTTTTTGTTTTTTTTTAAATGTAAGTTTCCTTTATTTATTTATTTATTTATTTATATTATTTTTGGCTGCGTTGGGTCTTCGTTGCTGCGCGTGGGCTTTCTCTAGTTACGGTGAGTGGGGGCTTCTCTTGTTGAGGAGCACGGGCTCTAGGCACGGGCTCAGTAGTTGTGGCTCGTGGGCTCAGTAGTTGTGGCTCACGGGCTCTAGAGCACAGGCTCGGTAGTTGTGGCGCACGGGCTTAGATGCTCCGCGGCATGTGGGATCTTCCCGGACCAGCAATGGAACCCGTCTCCCCTGCATTGGCAGGCGGATTCCTAACCACTGTGCCTCCAGGGAAGTGCTGTAGTTACTGTCTTACTAACATATACTAAAATTGTTTAGCTTGTCCATTATTGTTGTTATTCTCTTTCAGGTTATTCCAGGCTATTCTTGCATGCTTAATTTTCTGGATGAATTTAGAATAAGTCTATCAAGTTCCAAGCAAACGCATATAACAGCAATGAACATCTGTTTGTATTTTGTTTGGATAGCATCTGAATTTGTAGATTTAATTCAAATATTGAATTATATTTTAATAACAATTCAAATAATTCAATATATAAATTTCAAATATTGAGTCTTCCTATTCAAGAGCATCTAATATCTTTGCACATTTTTAAAATATTTTGGTTGTGGTACTGCGTGATTTTCTATCTTATTATTATTGTTTTAAAGTACCAGTTCTTGGTTTTACTTGTCAATTCTACTACTTATCTTTCATATATCTGTTGTAATCATTTTAATCCTCTTTATTTTTAATCTGAGTTAAGTGGTTAATTCAATGTTTTATTCTACTTCTTTTAGTAAGTATAAGTTCCTAGGCCTATTAATTTTTCTATAAATATGGTTTTAGACAAGTCACATAATTTTTGATATCTAGAGTTTTTATTTTCATTTTCTAGGGATTCTGTACTATCAATTTCAGTATCCTGCTTTACACAAGAATAATTAAGGCAGCACTTAAAAATGTCCAGGTGGTTAAAATTTTTATTTTTCTACTTTCTATTTTTCACATAATTAATGCAATCTATATTCTTTCTATTTATTAAAATATACTGAAGAATTTTTTGTGCGCTAAGATAGGATCTTATTTCTATAAATGCTTAATGATGTTTGAAAATAAGGTGTCATAACTGTTCTTAGACTATTGAATTCAGCGTATACCTATTAAAGCAACCTTATTTATTGTCTTTTTCATAGCCTTTAAACAAATATTTGGGACCCCTGCTGTAGACAACTTAAAAGTATAAAAGAATATTAAAAAAGAAATCACACACCCATCCCATAAAACTTAGATTATTACTATTAACATTTTAGTTTATTTTCAAGAGTTTCCTAAGGATATTTTATTTAATCATGCTATGCAGTATTAAATATTATTTTTCATTTATTTCTACATGAGTATTTCCTATGGTAAAAGAAGAACATTTTAATTAACATTAACATTTTAATGGATATACAGCATTCCAATATATGCAAGTCATAACTGACCTAATCCTCTCCCTGTTGTAAAACACTTGGGTTGTTTCCAACTGTTACTATAATTAATCCTGTTATGAGAACCTCTGTGCTGGATCTTGGAAGTATCTCTATTTTCTTATATTAAAGTCCTGGAGAGTGAATTATAGGGCCAAAGAGTACAAACAATTTAAAGACTTTTAAAATGTATTGCCAAATTACTTTACAGATAAATTTTACCAAAATATACACCCACAAATTCTTGCTTCACTGCACATCTACCAGCATTGAACCTGAACACTATTTTAATCTTTCCAGTTGGATAATCAAACCTAAGCTCATTGTCATAATTTCCATTTTCAATGAGCCTGAATATTTCCTTATGTTTGTAGCCATTGACCTCTTCATAGGATATATGTTGCCATAATCTTAGTATAATTGGTCCATAGGGACCTGTATTCAAAGTTCCCACCAACTTGCAAATGAACTTCCAGTGTGCATCTCATTTGTAAGTTAGAAGCTGTTTATATTAGCTGTAGGTTAGAATGGAACAAGAGAGCTGGCACACTACCAAACTCTATCACAACAACCCAAAAGAACTTTCTGCAAAGTTGGAGATGCTTTATATTTGTCCATTATGGTAGCCACTAGCAACATGTGACCATTGAGCTCTTGAAATGTGGCTAATGTGACCAAGGAACTGAATTTTTTACCTTATTCCATTTCCAGTAATATTAATTT